ACTGCGTTCAGATATGACTGAGATTTTTCATGTTGTTGTATATAAATGTGTATTGGTTACAACACCACGTCTCCTTGGAATAAACGTAATTAAAAATTGTATTCAAAGATTTGTCGGCGATATAGAAAGAGCTTTGGTAGTTAAATTCATCTTATAAATGAACCTACAGAATTATGAGAATGATGCATTAATTAAAAAATACCTTTAATGATCGAGCAACCTACTGAAATTAATTTGTTAACCAGCCCCAACAAATAACATCAACCTTTCTTGCTTATTTGAAAGAAAAGGTTGATACTCCGCAATGTGTTTTATTAGCTTTGATGGGAGGTGAACCTCTTAATGAAAGTACAAGCACTGAGCTATACTCTGGTCGTGTATATAAACGTGTGCATAACATAAATTATATTTCCATGCTAATATTATTACTGAAAAAAATAACCGTGGATCTATGTCAAAGTCCTTCACGCATTTACTTCAGTACACCTCAATGCAACTCTTGGAATGAAAACAAAAATGAACAACAGAAACAAAACAAGCACCCCCCCCCCAAAAAAAGGGACCAAATCATTGTAAATCGCAAATAACATGACATTCGCGTCTACTCAGCTAGTTCGTTGATATTTTGTAATTTCAGGTCAGTGATTAATTTATGACGAGGCACTGAATGTGTCCGAACTATATTGATAACTTTTGAAAATTGATTTAAATGACTTCTTTTGGCGGAAGAAACAACAAACAATGAACGTCTCCAAAACATTTGATACTTTTGATTGATAATGATATCTACAAAACAGACAACTCTTATTAACCTTGTTCCCTGTGTGAAGTTGGAAGGTTTAAATTTATCGGAGTTAGTTCTCGGATACGTTTTCATACCGCATTATTTATTATTCCTAAAATAAAGTTTCGATATTATGATTTTATTTAGGGGGAATCAAGACCATCATTATTTTAACGCATACCATTAGTCAATCAGAGAACAATACCGTTTGTGTATCACTAAAGCCGTTACAGAAAACTCACGATCGTATCTGGCTTTGTGAAATGCAAACGGTATTGCCCAATAACAAATGCGTGTATACTGATCAAATAATATACACAAAACTATACACAAATGATGTGGGCTTAATTTGTCAAAGAGCAACAAAACCCCTTCAAATTCAGAAGTTCAATTTGAGAATTAAAATTGAAGAAAATCGACAAAACTATTCAAGACAAAGCAATATTAATATCATTTACACGTGCAATTAAAGAACAAATCCGTTAGATATGTCTTTAAAGATTTGAGTTTTAATCCATGGCTGTACAGAACGTCTACTTAAAGTAACACCTCGATTTTTGAAATGGCAAAATACAGAATAAACAGAGACAAAAGGTGAAATGAATTTGTTTTCTGCAGTACTAAGAAATTTATTTGTTTCGTCTGGGTACAATTCATATCTCTTACGGTATCCTTAAATAGTAAACATTATTATCGACAAAATAGAGTCTTTGTATATATTACAAATTACGTTTTCCCATCATAGTATGAGGAAATCATTTTTTTATCTAAAATTATTGTTCATACAAATATAATAGCACCGTGCTGGTAGCAAGTATAAAAACTACAGTTTACAAATGATTGTTTGTTAAATCACATTACCAACTAAAGCTAATCAGCCAAAAGACAGGAAAACAATTAAAGTTATATAAAAACAAACCACTTCCATCATTTCATATCATACACAATATCAGGATAATACTTGTTTGGAGCAGAAATATAAGAAAAATATTCTACTAGATCATTTTCCGAAAACAGTTAATAATTCAGTAACTTGGCAGTAATACTATCATAAGATCTGCGATTAAAAAAAAAAGGTTAGATTATGATAATACAAGACAGACATAGTATCAAATATTTACAGATGTACAGAGGGCACATATACTATATATAATAACATTTTCTAAACAAAATTACAAATTATTATTACTGTGAAACAGGATAAGATGTATCTAAAGATAGGTACAGTTTCCAAACATATTTTAATTAAAAGAGCAGCCTTGTGTGACGATCTGCTCATGCTGAATGAAGGTTTTAGACGTACACATACAGAAACGAGCTTAGATCCTAATCACAATTTCAATTAGAAACGTGCTCCAAAAATAATGGTCTACCAAGGCTTGTTTGCCTTCACAATGAGCACAATATTCAAGTTGATTTGCCTTACACTGAACATCAAATGTTCAAAGAGTCGGGGCTCATTACTAGAATGATATAAGTAGATAGATTTGCAGACAAATTGTTGACATGCAAAAGCAAGAAATGGCCCTCAGACTCAGCAGAGGATTTTGAAAAAGCTGGTACTCATATTTTCAAACTTCAAGAGGTCAAAGAATTACGCATTTGCTGATCAAGATCGAATGTTTTGAATGAAGGGTGTAAAAATCCCCTCTAGCGACGACACCCCGGCTTGAAAGGATATGCATGTGCAGTCAGAAGCCACTTATCTTATGGGTGGTTATGAGGCTGTACACCAATGCATGAAAACAGTATCAGAAAGTATAAAGAAAGGTTTCTCAATTATGGGCCAGTATTAAAGAAAAATATCTACACATAAACCTAACACATCTAACTATGTATAACGATATATATCACAATAAATTACTGCCTACAAAGTATATACCTGAAACACAAGAAAATTTTCATTATACCACAATTATTAGAATAAATCAATACCACAAGTATCATCAATATCAAAATTCCTTCTCCAGATCAATGCATCTTATAAGCACTTTGTAAGGTACATATATATAGGTGCAAACATATTATGAATACTACAAAAATCTTCTCTCTTTTCACACAAGCAATTCTTTATCAAGTAACACAACAATCATTGTTTGTTAAAGATTGAACACATTTTCCAGTTATAAAAGAATATCTTATGTGGAACATGTCCACAAAATTACAAATTGTTATGCATTGACATCTTTACAATGAACCTCTCGCTATTGGTTAAAAAACTTTCTTATTTACCACATCAAATTTAGAATGCAGCTTAGTTTTGAAAATCATTCACAGAAATTAACCCGTACATGACTGAAGCAAATCAATATGCATTTGAGTGAATTGAATAGATATAATCAGGTAACCCCTATAGAGTGAATTCATACTTCCATATTGGTACAGAATTATAATTCCTTAATAATTCTTACTCTATAATCTACATGTTTGAATTTGCATCAGATATACTGAGTAGTCTGTGAATACTTCATACAGATTTTTACATTTTACAATTTGTTTATTCAGGCAGTAGCAGGGTCTTTAATGTTTCATTTTACATGCTGTCTGTTGTTATATTCAATACATTAAGTATGTGACAAATACAGAAACAGAATCAATCATTTCATTCATAACAATAAAATCATGATAAACCATCAAACATATTCTTCAACATTTTTGTGGGTACCTCCCATTTTAAGAAAGATACTTTTCATTACTGTTTAAAAGAAAAATTACTTGAAATTTTACTCTCAACGAATAAAACCAACAAACAAAAAAAAACAGTGTTTTTACTTTAACAGAGACATACACAGCAAGCCAAACAATTGCAGTAGTTTTCTTTGGACTTTCAACTTTCAGCATCTTCAAAGGCACTGTCCTTGCTTGCAGCATTATAACAATCACTCCTATTTGTTCAAAACAACCTCCTAATTATGCCAACTTTTCAATCGTTGCTTGCTCTTTATAGCTGCATTTCTTTTGTTCAATGTTCAGCTGAGAGCTAACATAGTCATTACATTCATTTAAAATCTTATGCATTCAACACACTTTTGACACGATCCCAATACCATCATCTTCTTTGTCTTTCTTTCTTCAAAATAACACATTTTGTGGCAATCTTCAAATGCGATATATTATTTTTGTTGTTCGTCGTATTAATAATATGGTAGAACCTCATTACAGTATAAAAAGGTCTGATATAAGAAGGAGGTATCTGTTATAATAATTTGAGTTGGCTCAGTCGGTAAAGGGTCTGCTTATCAAACCAAAGAGCGTGGGTTTGAATCCAACCCAGGCGGATGACTGAAGCCTGCATTGTGTGTTAACGAGCCCCTCCCGTTTCATAGATGCAGGCTATATTAAGTAGAAAACACTCTGTCCCTCAGATAGGACGTTAAGTGGAGGCCCTGTGTAGAGGAGAGCCACTACCTTTGCACATTAAGAACCCACTGTACTATGCGCATAAGAGTAGGGGGAAACCCTGGTGTAGTGGTTCACCTGCACACCCCCAATCAGTTTTACCGGAAGGAGAGACCTGAGGGTTACAGTAATTCACTTTTCGCCTGCCAGGCACAGGTGACGCCAAATATTAAATAATAATAATAATTTAGCCATTCCCAGCTCTTTATATTCTAGTTTCCTGATAAAACAAGGTAATTTCCATGGTCCAAAGGACTTCATTATAACGAGGTTTCACTGTACCAACTGTTGAGAGCTGAATGAGTGTTTCATCATGAATACACTTCAGCCTGCTGGATACACTTTGGTTTTTGTAATAATTCTACTAAACCATTTATATACACCATCAATCTAGTAAACTGTTCTGAGGCGCAGAGGAAGATTATTATCCTGGCTTTAGCATGGCTGCCAGTACGGCACTCTAGCATTTCTAGGATTTAATTCCTGCCAGGTACCCATTTACATCTTCCCGGTTGAGTGTGGCAAATGTAGATCAATGTCTTGCCAAAGGACATTAGTGCCTCGGCGGGACTTGAACCGCTGACCTTGTGATCCACAGTCCGTTGACGTATCCACTCGACTACAAAACCTCTACATTTTGGTATAACATGCAGTTCCCAAAGACTCCTGCCCTAGTTATGTTAGGCTAAACTAGTTTAAATTTGTGTATAACATGCACATTGCTACCTACAAAATATTAATAACTGCAATCACAAATAATCAGAAGTTGAATAATATTTGATGAGTGAAAACAAAATGGAGCAAAACCATAACCATATCATTTGCTATTCTTTACATATTTATATACATCAAGGGATATCAATATTATTAACCTCTACTTGATTGGAAGTCTGAATAAAATATAGTCCCAAATTAAAGGTGCATAAATAATGAATATGTTTGGTAATACCAGGTTTTAAATGCTACAATCAATAACCCATAGGCATAGCATACATATCTAAAACATAATCTCAATCCATGATTGTTCTCACAGTTTCATAAAAATCCATAAGTGAAAAAGATTGAAAAACGGCAAATACGTTAAAATCAAGGTGACGGAACGTGGAAGCACTATATTTCAAATTTAATTATTTCATAAAAAGAGTGAAAAGGGATGATAACAAACATGTGCAATGTGCATCCAAATTGCAGATAAAATACTACACTTGTGAAAACATAAAATACTAATAACTTAGTACATTAATTATGATGAAGAGCAAGAATTTGATTCGATTTTTACATGTCACAAACAAATATCAAAGTGTACCAATCTCCTGAAAAAAATAACATGTGTATGGTATACAAACCTGTACATGTAGTTAGAATGAATAAAATCAACCTCTACCTGCTATTCTATAGGTATAAATAGGTAGACGATTGGGGACATTATAATTGATTCTCCATTATAGAACAGGATCATGCCTGCTGTATATATGAAAACAAAATCATGTTTCTAGATTCTATTAAGGTACTCTTCAAATTTACATGATTGAAAACAAACATCTTAATGGAAATATGAAATTTCATTACAAAATGTCATTTTTGGGGTTTACATACAATGATACTAAAAGGCAATATATTCTAGAATGAATACAACAATAAGAAAAGACAAAGAAAATTACATTGAATCTTCATATTCTCACAGACTACTCTATTAGAAATCTATATTTAAAGCTATGTATTCACAGACAAGGAATCTTACATGATGATATATATATATATATATATATATCTTCTCCTGCGACAGAATTTCAATTCAGGATTTATGGAGCACACAACGGAAGGCTTTGACCAGTTGACTGGTCACTCCACACCGGTCACTACGTCTCGTCTGGTGTGATGGTCAAGGTTAGTTTGTTGTCCCTCCAGTCGATAACCTTGGGAAGTTCCAACTGTGTGGGAAAAGAACATAAGTACATTTTATTCACACACAAAAACTGTTGTAGGACAAGTGCTTTGACCTTGGACTAAACACTATACTTTACCTCGACGCCTTACCTTACGCCTTGTACGAAAAAAGGATCCTAAGTCCCTAACCCTAAACCCAGTTGCATCTCTAAACCTATCCCTATGTCTTTAATGAAATAAAGCGGTGAGCACCAGAGAAGAACATATTGGTATTCTGGGCCCGTGCTATAAAGAGTTGATATTAATCGCAACTATGTACATATGAGATAAGGGACTGCAAACTTGCGATTGATTGATTTGGGTCAATCTCATCTCTTTACCAGACGGGGCCCTGAAGTGTATCTGTTGAAAGTAATTCAAATCTTACTCCCATGAGCATTAGTATAGAGACAAAGGAATTCACATTTTGTGTAACCGTGTGTTGATAATAATAATGATACTAGTGGATTCTTGTACAGCGCTCAAGTACATCAAGCATCACATAACTGGCACTCCACAATTGCTGCCCAGGATTTAATACAGCCAACAGATGTGCAAGGCTCTAGGCTATAAAGTCGTACAGCTCACGCCCCATGGAATAATCCTGGAACATGTTGCGGTGCATATGTGGGGATGGGGGGGGGGGGCAGGAATGGGGGGCAAGGGTGGGGATGGGGGCAAGGGGTGGGGGTGGGGGTGGAATGGAATAACTTACATTTTCTGTTGATTGTAAGAACTCTAGATCATTGGCCATGGTCTCTGCAAAGTCTGATCTGATGAGGAGCTGAAAGAGGAAAGATTTATAGATTTACAGACTGAAAAAAATGTAAGTGAGAGAAAGATTGCCAAAATTCTTTCGATATTTACAGCAACCATCTTGACATTTTTGTATACCTCTCTGAAGAGTGTCTTAAATTCTGGAAAAGAAGATGTGTAAAATCATTTAAAACATATTTGAAAACTCCCTTTACTTCTTCCCATAAACAGTTAATAACATTAACACAGATGTGCACTAAAAGGACACTTACTGTAGACATATCCTAAAGTCTCCATCTGCTGTATTTGACTACACGTTAACAATAACATTTTTAATGAATCATGTTTGGCAGAAATCATTTATTTGTTTTTCAAATTTAAAGAAGCAAAATCTTCCAGACTGATGTTCTAACTCGACAGAGGAATTGTTTAATTAACATTGTAGATTATTCTGGCTTTTCCAGTTGAAGGAAAGGTTTGATGAGCATTGTAATGAAGTCAGACGCAAAACTATTCTCAGTTTGAAGCGAGATTGGCATTTTCTCTGTTCGGAATGCTTATAATTAAACACAACTTTGATTTTACCATTTTTATGACTATCATGAATCTCAATAAAAAAATGTTTTAATTATTTTTAAGTTATAAAAAGTCTGATATCATTGCAGTTTCTTCAAAATGTGATCGCAGTTTGATAGCTTAGTATGCAGTGGGCTTTAGACGTACCTGCAGCCATGGTCCCTTGGCTACAAAAGGATGATTCTCTTCGACAAAGGAACCCTCGACGCTGGGTGAGACCAGAGTGATTGCACAGTCATTGGCTACGTTCTTAAAGGTGAAGTGACGGCCATGGGTAAGACGCCCTCTGTTGGACATAAAGGGAGAATGTCATGTTGAATAAAGACTTTAAGTAAATGCGACAGCAGTAATAATGATAGTACTGCCTGGATTCATTTCACAGATTTTTCTGCGTAAAGTAACCTGCCTCAGTTGGCTAACTAAACAATTCCTTGAATGCTACGAGCGCCAAAATTAGTAGCCTAGCAGATACAGAGTAAATGGGAGCACCTTACAGGAGGATATGTGCACTATGAAAATATCAAGTTTTACTATTATTATTATCAAGTTTACCACGCTTCAGCAAATCAGCAAAGAATGAGCACGATTGCTCCTTAATATTATCTTTTACAACATATTACTGAAGATATAGAGGTCTATACTGTAAGAAGTTTTACAATGCTACTTACAATTTCTCTGCAACGTTTTGCCCGTTCTCTTGTTCAATACATTGTTAATAGTCAAAGTGTACTTGAGGAAGTACAATATTCATAAATCCATTCACAAAGCCAAGGGAGTGTTTCACAAAGACTAAGATCGACTTAAATTGGACTATGGCAGGCCATTCATCCCACTTTCTGCTCTCCCTATTGGTCTCTCAAGTAACATCACAAATCTACAGAATTCTCATTTTTTAATAGTTTATTATTGAAGGAAAAAAAGATCACAATTTCTAAGGTTTTTTCCTCTTATTTTACATCTGGTTCAAGACTTTTTAGGGGAAAAAATCGCCATAGTTCAAGTCCAACTTATGTCGATCTTAGTCTTTGTGAAACAGCCCCCAGAAGTGACTATTAATGGTACTCACCTAACTGCTAATGATAGGAGAGCAGCAGCTTCCAGATTGAGCTTGATGCTCACACCATCCAGGTACCTTGAGTTACCCAGCTCAAAGATGGAGCTCCGCGTGTCAGTCTCACTCTCGGTGGAAGGTCGGCGGTTCAAGCCTTGGCTGGTGTCCTCCTCCCCCTGTTTGCCAGAGATAGGTGGCAGGATAGGCTTGTCGTTGGATAGGCCTCTGGTCAAAGCTTGTCTGATCTGTTCGGTTTCTGGGAACACGGTGAGAAAGAAAAGTACACTATCAAATTGATGACTAGAAGGTAAAAGTAAAGGAATGCAAATTCTGCTTGTAAATTTGTCAACTATCACTGATTCACAATGCCAATGCAACATCCTTAGAAATGTGTTATCCACTAAACCACTTGTCCTCTCCCCCAAAAAGAATTATTCTGAAGTGATGTGATGATCAGTGGTAAAGCAGTGGTCCCATAAGCAGGTGGGTTCTGGGTTCAAAACCTATGTCCTAGTGCCCTTTCATAAATCATCAACTCATTCGTGACAACATTTTCTCATAAAGGATTGTGTTCGACGCTCTCCTGCAGAGCCTGAAGAACGTCAACAGCATTCTAGATTTCTTGTAAATACTGCAAACCACACAATGTGGTCCATTGTCGCGAATGAGTTAAATCTCAACCCCTGGCCCCTCAAAGTGAATTTAAAGTTAAAGGTAGCATGTATTTGTTTCTTAGCAGTCAGGTAAACAAGATCCAATCAACCAATATCATATGTTATGCCTGGAAATCATTCAAAAATAGAATTGGGTAGAGGTTTTGTGGCCTAGTGGATAGTCACCCGACTGCAGATCACACGGTACGAGGTTCGAGTCCCACCGCGGCACTAATGTCCTTTGGCAAGACGTTAATCTACATTTGCCATTCTCCACCCAGGTGTAAATGGGTACCGGTTATGCATGACCGTTATTTACTTTGGCAGCTCGGCTATAACCAGGGTAATATGTGTAAAGCGCCACTAGCGTCAGAGCCTGGCAGATACCGGCACTATATAAATATCCATATTATTATTAATAATCATCATTACCTATTTGTGATATCCTAGGTGTGTCCGTCTCGTCCGTCCAGTCACCAACGGGGTCCCAGGAACACCTTGCGCAAACACCGCTAAGGTTTGACCCCTCCGTGTCGATCCCTCTCTCCACTTCCTCCATGAGTAAGGGGTTGACCTCAAAGATAGTTTCACCTCTTCTCATGTCTGTGACAAGCCACGATCCACCAGCACTGAGAAAGGAAAGACACAAACAAAGAGGGATGACGGTTCAGTGGGTAGAGCAGTGGGCTTGGAATCAGGGGGTTGCAGGTTCAAGACCAAATCAATGCCCCTGTGCCCTTTGCAGGGCAGTAATTCTTAATTATCAAGTCTCCCAGATAGACTTCAAGGCATCGGTTCCTTTTTTTGCTCATCTGTTTAAAATATTATTTTCTTCTTTTGTAGCAGTTAGATAAAGTGAGTGTCAATGTTGATTACAAGTACAGTAGTACTGAAATGGGACCATTAAGTGATTACTTGATATAAACTAGGGGGATAAATGAAAACTATATGCATTCTTATTAATTAATCAATTTTCCCTCATTCGTTGAAATAATTAATTTCATGTGATAACACAGAGGGGGAATCAAAACTTAATATTACGAAAGCTGATAAGTATACTGTAACATTATCTAGTATAAAATGCATAGGGTTTATTAAATATATAGGATTTGTCAATGTGTTAAAGGTTCCACTTACACTTCCATTGATTTGAGTAGGTCCAGCATGCCAAGACCATTCCACCTCTGTGAGGCTTGAAGTTCTTCAGAACATACTCCTACAATCTGCATGGATGAATGGAAATAAGCCAAGATTTAAAGGTATACACCGGTTCTGGTCATGCGATTGTATTGTGAAAGAAACGGTGTGGAATCGATCAGAAAAAGTTGATCATCTGGCATATAAGTATTGGTGTGTACTGCAAGGTTCTGGAATCATCAAAATGATAAGAAATTTGGCCCAGTCTTGGTAAAGTTACAAGCACTGTAAACAGAAAGATGTATATGGGACTATCCTATATCTATCCAGTCCGGATAGATATAATAATTTACCAAATATATCAATTAGTAGGCAGTTTCCCGGCAAAATCTGTATCATCACGTATTAGTCAAAACATATTCTTTCACATGATTGGTTATAAGTGCTTCCATTTCATTTTTTGAGAGGGGGCGTTTTAAAAACTGGACTCTACCTTTAAAGGATTTTTTTTCCATTTAACATTTTTCAGAACCTAGGGGCAAATCCCCCCCCCCCCCCCACATACCATAAAGTAAGGGTTTAACATTTATTCTGGAAAGAAATTTCAATAAAATTATAGCACTCTTTAATTACTTTAATAAATTTAAGCCACTGTTTAAGAACACTAAGACTAATCTAAACTACTTATGAGTAATCATTTTAAACAGAGATAATCGTGTAATTTACCTGAACAAAACTGACTGTTCCATGTGGTGTGGTGATGGTAGGTAGCTGGGAATCATCTGCCATTAGCATATGCTGAATACGAGACTCACTGTTATCTAATGGACTGTGCCAAGACACATGGTCTCCATTACATAGGGTATTACCTGTTGAAAAGAAAAAAAGAAAAAAGTCAGAAAGTTGTCAAATAGGCAGCAGTTTTGAGTAAGATTGAGAACTGACTTGAGACATGGCTTTGTTTCATCAAGAAGAGGTCATAAGCAGGACACTAACAAGCGCTTGGGACAAATGAGTGCCTATAATCTAGGTCCGGACCCCCAAAGTTCCAAAATATATTCATTGGGCTCATGCATAGACTTTGGCAAAGTTGAATCTGGATCCGCTTCCAAAAATGTTAGTGTCTAGCCCTGTCATTAGGTTCGATATTTGTGACGTTTTCCTCTTAGTTTTTTATCAAAGATTCAGGGAATAATTTGATAAGTCCTTTTGTTCATTAACAGTCAGTTAAATAATAGATGTAATCTCTATGATAAACAATACCGTCTCGTAAAAAAATATACAATTGACAGTTTTAAAATGCTTGTAGAATTACAAGTGTGGTAAAAGATCGGATGAAGATAAATAAAAGTAAGACAATGTAAGATTTGTTTTCTTCTTCAAAGGGTAAGAGAATGTTGAAAATGTTATAAAAACAAGCAGATGAACTAAGAAAAATGAAGTAGTAGTGAAGAAGAAGGATAAAAAGAGACTGCCTGCACAATGAATTGCTTCTCACCAGATTGGAAGACGTATCTTGCCAGCCCCTGCATGAGCTCTGCTGGCCAAGTAGGGGGCGCTGTTTCGGTGGGCTCTTTCTTCAGTCTGAACGTGAGCTCAAAACCAAAGCCACTGGGCCCATTAGGACCAGTAGGAATTCTAGATAGAATAAATATAACAAGGAGGACAAATTATTAATATCAGGCACACTTGTCCTGTCCAACAAGAATACATGTTTTATCTTAATTTAGAAAGTGAAATTCATGTTCATGCAACTGTGATCAATGGCTCAGTTGTCAATTGGGGACCAGTCTGAGGTGTGTGTTTCAACTCTTTTGCAAAACAGTTTGATGAGGGGAAAAATGAAAGGATTTATTGTACACATCATCTCAAAAGGGTCCATTAGGGTAGAACTACATCAAACATTTGCCTAAAAGAGTTGTAAACATTCAAATCATGCATTAATTTTAATACAGGTAACTTACTAACTGTATGAGCATGGATTAAGTAACTCCAAACTCTTTATGATAGTTTGCACATCTTTTCTTCTTTCCAGTCTTGGAAATGACTTGGATTGTTGTTGAAAGGAATTAAAATGCCATGTTCCATGTGATTATATTTGACACAGGCATTAATCAAGCATTATGTAGTACTTTAAACAACAATACTGATACCTTTTAAGACCATAGGTGGCAAATTTGATATTGTAACCAGTACCTTTGGACAAAGAAAAGTTTTTTCCTTTTTTCTCAAAATTCATGAATTGTCAAGTTAGAAATAATTGTGCAACGTTTATATCAATTTGGACAATGAGTAAAAAGTGGTTTACAGGATCATAGCTGGATACATCTTGGTAAACTTGGGGCACCACAAAGGGTCAAGCTAACTTTATTTTCTATTCTAAATAGCTGCAGGAATCCAGATTTTGTGTGTCAATTCTTACCTTTTTAACCACTAATTACAATTTTTCATCGCCTTGATCAACTTACTCATGAACTCGTCCATCACCGAACAGATCCGAGAGACCAAAACTGACGTAGTGCCAATGGGGCGGGATCCCATGACCAGGCTCTCCTGGATTACTGTACATGCTGATGAAGTCTAATGGATCTGGTCCATTCAACCTGTCAAGTCAATAAAAAAGGGTCTTTTACATACATGTATCTTTTTAAATACAAACCTTATGTCAGCCTCAATCACCTTTAAATATCAAAGTACCCTTTGAATACTGAATTTTCTCAGCTAATGCTGTAGGCTATAAAACCGGGACACTTGGTTCCCATAAGCAATGGGGGTAATTTCTGATCAAAAAAATTAATTCCCTTTACTTTAGAGACCCATCTTCATGTTGAGCAATGTAAATGACACTATTTTGTCCCCCAGCAGGTGTCATTTTTGTATTTTGCCCTGTAGATGTAGGCTGTACATACAAATAATCAGGTCTGCATCTGAATGACACACCAGGAAATTACAGATTATTACAGTTCCCTAAACTTCCCTTCTAAGTTCTAAGATAACATTGTCTTCCACTGTTGTTAGAAAAATGTGACAATTTGTAAAGTAGGTCATCTGAAGGGTGTGCATATTTAAACTTTAGATTTCCCTACCCAGTATGATCATGAAGTCAAAAGTGATCCATGCATCATTATCATCATTATAACAGCAAATGTTATCTTTTATTTAGTTTCCTATCTCGATTCACAATCATATCAGCATCATCAACAATCGAGTTCATCATCATGATGAGCATTCATAATATTCTTTTCATTCATGCTTATCAGTTATGTCCAAGATAACAATTATAAAATCATATTTCTCATTAATTATAATGCTTGAATGAAGAATAATCCGATTAAGTCATGCTGATTTTACCAGTATTTCAGTACGGCGGTCACTTGTAATGGATTTGGCTGATCAACATAAAGGCGCCGACATGCCGTATACACAGCGTCAAGCCCGCCCGGTAGTGCAGGCACAGGTGCTGTTCCATGTTCCGCTTCGCGCTGCTGCTGCTCCATTGAAGTTTGGATACACTGTTACAACGTCAATGAAATATCAGAAACTCCAGGCACAGCATCTAAAAGTTTACCAACTTTCTCCTGACATGAGTAGTGTAAATTTAAAGCCCAATTATTGGACTGAAATTATACTTTTGTGTGATTTTAATACACTTTTGAGCGTGGGAATGACAGAGTCACAGTTCAGGTATTTGGCTGTTGAATTGTACGCCCACTCTTCCCCTTGAAATATAACAAATTAAACGTTATTTCTACTTTTAACATTTCTTCGCGGTATCTAAAGAGGCTTATTATTTTTTTAATAAGTTTTTAATGGAAAATATAGAAGAGGTAGTAGAATTTGAAATTTTTGTAATCATATAAAATGTAAAACAATTCGTGAGATATTTTTGTAAAAACATCAATGTAACAGCCCAATGGGTTGGTAGACTTTACATTAGACTAACTTACAATCAAAGAAAAAATCATAAAAATCATATATAATTTTTGATAAAATTATATTTTTTTAAAATATTCTATTTAAATGAACATGATTATTTTATAGCGAAAAATATACAAATATTAATTTTATGATATATTTTAGAATTTATCCATTGAAACAATGAGTACATATTAGCAACTTCAGCTAAAAAGATATAAATATTTAATGGCTAGTTTCAGTCTCTCTTCAGGCAGAATACAATGTTATACGAAATAAAAAATAGCCGATAACTTTGAATAAGAATTGACGTATACACCATCTGTGATGGTTAATTGATCGTTTTCCTGAGTTGGGCGTGTAAAGAAATATCCCTAAATATGTCTTATGATGTGATTGCGAACCAACCAGTCGTCATTGATAATGTAAGTTTTATTCATGGAGATAAAAATTATAAGAGTAAGCTACTAAAATGGTCCATTAAGAGGCCAAAATGCTAATATTGTAAAATATTTGCGGCTTTGGCCTTTGCTCGCTAAATTAGCTGAGCCGACACTGCAGTGTGACTGCACTGTCACTTGTGTTACTGTGTGAAGAGCTGAGCTGTGTCTGTGAAGAGCTGTGTCTGTGAAGAGCTGTGTCTGACTCCGAGTGGGGGCTTTTGAGTTTTGATTGTATTTGTGGTGTGTGGCGATGCGAAAAACGGATTCCTTTCACACTTTGTAGTTGTACAAAGGCTTTCACGTTATGAACGATAAATCTTCGGGAAGACGGAGAACCAGTAAAAAGTAGACCATGAGCTGGGGGTATTTTATTTATAGTCTAATGAGGAATGCGATTTTTGCATTGCAAGCGCGCAGATCGGGAACCCTACACCGGCAGATCACCAAAGAACGTTCACAAAAATGCGGACGATCTTTATTTTTTTATTCTCCGGATTCTGCCCGGAGTTGAAAAATAGCCTGGAAAGAGAATAGTTCCGCACTAACGATACCTTCATGGCCGCCATACTTTATAAGGAATTAGGGTTGGTTGAATTTTAGGCGTTTTTAGGTATCACAAGTGCGTAACTCTTCTCTTTCTTTCCAGGCTCTTTTTTTTTTTACTTTAGAATCTAGGCATAATCCGGAGAATCGCCAATCTCTGCGAAGTGAAAAATGAAAAGATGAGCTATGAATACAATTGCCAATTTTGTACATGTAACTAAATTCTCCTTTTAGTCTTACAATGTCTCCTTTTAGTCTTACAATGTCTTTGAGTGATCTGATAATATAATTAGTTACCGGTACATGTCCAGTTCAAAATTGGTAATTGTACTTTAATTATAGATGGTCTTTTTATTTTTTCAAGTGTACGTGGGTACTAGATAGTAGATTCTATAGTGACAAATTTTCCATTTCATGTTTAGTTCTGTCATTGTAGATTTTCCCAATCTTGGTTATGTGTTTCCTTCTCTTTTACCATCTTACATTCACAGACAACACAAAGTGAATCTAAAAATACATGTCCAATTGATACCAAGACTAATGATGTGTATTTATAGGACTTATTGCAACTTGTAAAAAAAAAAGAAGAGTGATCAATGGTTGGTGATGCAAATGTAAACAGTATTATTTTCTAATTCACGCTTTCAAATGAAAATAAATAATTTTCCATCACGCTTTCACCCACCTGCTGAAGAAAACATATAAAACTCTTTCCAAACACTTAGGGGAGCACTGCTCATCTAGGAGGGCTGCGGACATCTCCGCCATGTTTTTCCCCACTTCATTATGTCATTATGCAAAGTGGGGTCAAAGCTCCATTCATAGCAAGAGAAGGGAAGAAAAAAAATGAAAAGCACACACAAAAAAAAACAAGGACAAGAAATAGTAATAATAAAGACCATAGAGTATTTAAATATCTAAATGGAAGTTGTAAAAATTTGTTAGGAATTCTAAACAGTGTCATCACTAAATGGACTGATAGAGCCAGGAAAGTGAGAGAGGGTGCTTGAAGCTGTCAGATGTTAGACATTATGGACCCATTGTTTGATGCAGAGTTGTATAAGAAGATACACTTAGGCCTAAAAAAAAAAATTGATGACTTGGCGTAACCCGCCCGACCCAATTTTTATCGCCGACCCTACGCTTTTTTATTTTTTTTGATCAGATTGCGATTGCGTAAATATCGATATCGCAGTGGGGAAAACCCAGATGTTTGTTGCTTTCGTTCTGGGCTTTGCCGCGCCGTGTTTGGGCCAGCTCACGCGCCGAGTGCAGCGGGCAGGTACGCCATAGTACCGCTAGGCGATTGTATCCCCAACATGGCGTCCTATGGCGTTCAGTTCACGGGTAAATTTGGTGCTCACTTTGCTCACACAGTGTGTGTGTCCATATATGTGTGTGTGTGTGCGTGGAGTTATTTGAACATATTGTGGTCTACCCCTCTCATCAGATCATCCCCAAGGTCTGAGGACCTATCTACGCCACTGTATGTATGACGGTATGTGTATGAATGGCTAATTTCATGTATGCAAATATAAGCAACAAAAAAACAAAAAAAACAAAAAACAAAAACAAAAAAAATCGCCCTACCTACCCTAATTTTCAGTGACCCGTTACGCCAAGTCATCAATTTTTTTTTTTTAGGCCTTACTGTACTGAATTTAATGATATAAATTATTTCTTCTTTTCTCTTAATTGACCTCATAAATTATTTCATTTACTGTCCCTTACAGCATAATCTGAGCATAAAAAGTGTGTTATGCAATAGGCGCTTGTATGATGTATCCCGTGTGAAATATGGGTTGTTTTACAATCAGGGTACACACTTTGTCTCACTTGGGGTGGAAAAAAAGTTCGTTTGATTCTACTGAATTTTTGTTTGTGTGTTGTATACAAGTTACTGGTAAAGTCTGTAAAATTTCAGGGCTACAAGTGTCAATTTTTTTTCCTCTTCAAGCATATAACATGTCCTGAATGAAAACATTAATCTATCACATCCTTTACAAGGGATGTTGTACACAATGCCATCTCGTCTGTGTTGAGGAATAGGATCCTTGGGGCGTGTTAGTTGTTGACCTAGGGTGGTATCTGATCTGATCCCAATAATTTCAACAGAGACAACGGGATTGATATCCCCGAATTTTGGATGCATACGATACACCGTCATGACACTCCCCGTCCAGCTGGCCCGCACTGAGCCAGCTGGTTGAGCATGCCATTGTTCTCTATTCTTGTTTGTACATGCAAAAGCTGCAAAAGCCGCTTAAGCTGCACTTTTGGATATTATACTCCTCGTGTGTTGACTTCACGCAATGGATCAACATTGTGTCGACTACTGGTTTGACTCTTCTTTCTTGGCGATCACGTCTGATTTCATCAGATTTGACAAACTTGAATGTTCTCTTGGCATCTTGGTACTCCCTCTGTCGTGATTGGTACACTCCCTGACCAACTTCGTTAAGCTTTTCCTGACAGAACTCATAAAACTCCTCAGCTGACCTTATCTGTGGTACACGATGGGTCACAGCAGTGGTGGCCTCCCTCTAATAATGACTGCACCTTGTCCATATGCTGGTGACTTTCCATGTGAACTCTCAAAGTAGTGTCGTTGTACGTCAAGGCCAAGATCTTTCTGGCTGAAGGAGATGTCTGCAAATCTTGTGCTGCATCTGTACTGGGAAGCTGCACAGTCACTAAATTGCAATATGGGGTTAATTCCTGGATATGCCTGTTTGAGATGATCACTGCACAGTTTCAGAAATTTGAAACTTCAATTCAATTCAAAGTTTCTTCTTCTTCTTATTCTTCAAAATAATCTGCCTCCTTCACTGCTGAAGATTCTTGCAGATGTGTGCGAGTGCATGTGTGTGGCGACATGGGGATGTCCAGGTGTGCAGGTGAGACTGCACATAGTGCCAGTAAAAAAATTGCCGGAATTTACTTTCCCCCGGTCTTTAGTTGTCGCTGGAAGGCTTCCACTGATGGAGCCAGGACAACCTCAAGAGGGAGAGCTTTCCACTGTCGACACTCTTCATAAAAACATTTAAAACATACAAATACAGATGGAGTTATAACAAAAACAAGAAAGTGATAACAAATACAATGGCAATTTATAAGAGCATTTGGGATAGGCAGAAAGGAAGGATTCCTTATATGAAAGCCTACCCATAAAACCACACATACAGGAAAACAAGAACAAAAGAACAGAACAAAAAACAAAGAACGTACTAAAACTTACTATCATGCACGATCAGAGTAAACGCATATGCATCGTGCTTGAGATCTGATGTGTTGGCTTTGATACTTTGTCGGATATACATTAATAGCAGGGGTGGATAGTGACTTGTGGCGGAGACCAGTGGTATGATTGTACTTCATCTTGAAGGAAGCAGGTGTAGTTCATGGCAACGCGCAAACTATATGGTTACATCACCATTTACTGCATACACTGTACGTATGGTACACCGTTTGCTAGCTGTTAAATGTTGACTTGTTGCTCTAAAATGACGGAAGAAGTGAAATGTTTCCGATGTGGAATATAAAGCAAATAATCACCTTTTGGTTTCAGGCGATGAATGTATACGCTACCTTTCCTCAGCTTCGCTTCGGAAAGATAGCTACATCCAGATCGCTTCGGAAGTGATAGTTTGTTCCATCTCCTTCACCAACAGTAGTTATTTGCTTACTCTTTTCAAGCAGGAAAAAATTATTCATTCAGTGCATTCTTACTTCAAATGATTACACTGCTTTCGGAGAAGACATTTTTTAACCCATTTTGCACCTCATTTTTGGTGCAAAGTCAAAATTTGTAGATTTGCCAAAATATTACACCCGATTTAGATGTTACATAGACCCGTTGGCTTGAGTTAATTCTGATAGTTGATAATGTTTTTTGGGTACGTATGTCAGATATATGCACAGTATGTTCAAACTTTGCAAAAAATGATATGAGATGTCCAGCGAAAATGCAAAAAAAATGGCATATAATTATATTTTAAAAAGTAGTTGCTTGATTCAAACAATTTCTTCGCTGTTGTAGGTTGATCTAATGGTGACAAATAGTTGACTAAGGAAGATTTTCCTTGACTGTTCATCTTTTTTTTTTAAACGGTCATCGAAGTGACTTTTTCTATTGTGTACCCTGATTGTAAAACAACCCATATGAATGCATAATACTTATTCTCATCATTTTCTTTTAATTGCAGGGCTCTGGTGTTATCAAGGCAGGATTTGCTGGTGACCAAATTCCAAAGTATCACTTTCCAAACTTGTAAGTATTTATGATTTCCTTCAAGTTGTATAGTTTAATATCTCCCCTAGAAATACCTTTTTTTTTTAAAAGAGATTCTATTCTTTTTCATAATTACTCACAGAAATAACAATTGCTCCAGTAATAATCGCTCGGCATTCTATCAATAACCAATTTCCTACTTCAGTTATGGACCAAAGACTATACCTAGCCATAACCCTGACCCTAAACCTACATGTAACCCATGGGAAAGGAAATCCACATTAAACCATATGGAATGTATTCTACTAATTCTACAGTCAAAACAAAAGCAAGGACTTCAGTTTTGTTCAAATAGGTCATGGAGCAAATGTCTGATCACCCATTTGAAATGTTCATAATGGTATCATCATCAGGTGACAATTCTACTCCGTTTAACCTGTCAGTTATTTTGTGTACTTTGTTGTCCATAGACATTGAAAAGTTAATAAACATAAGATGCTATTGTAAACATACAATAATAATAATAATAACAATATTTATAAAGCACAACATATCTATCCATCCCTAGAGATTCTCAAGGCGCATGCAAATAAATAAATAAAGTACTAAAGCCGATGATTTGATGACATTTGTTCTGATAGTGTTGGTCGACCAAAGCATGTACGTGTCATGGCTGGTGCCCTAGAGGGAGACATATTCATAGGTCCAAAGGCCGAGGAACACCGAGGGCTTCTTAGTATCAAATACCCCATGGAGGTAGGTAGCTTACAAAATTTGAACATTGATGAACAAATATTCGTTCAGATTTGCAGACTGCAAAACCATTCACTCTTTGCATCAACCAGCTTGATGTAAAACTCTCAGAAGTTGGATTGTCCAAACGTCTAAGAACAATCATGATAATCTTTTGTCAAGTGTTGTTGTTTTGTTGTGGTTTTTTTTGCAAGTAATTGAAATAAGTGAAAGGTACTTTAATGTTCATTACTTGAAATATATTATGTACATTGTTAGTGAAGTTTTGAAGTAGTTATTTTTCGTAAGCAGAGATTATGCTGTGAATCATCATGTATTGTGGATTATTCAGTATTAGGTCATTGTAATAAAATTGCACAATCTTGCTGACATGTAGGCCTACTGACATGGATTGATGAAAATCACAGGCATTTGATTTATATGATATGCATATTTTTATGAAAATTAAAACAAATTGCCACTAGATTTAACAGCTTATATTCTAACATTTTCCAGAATAATCCATGATAGTGTAGGTCAGGAGAATGATTCACTCATGTAGAAGCATACTTCTACATGTACTGTCCATATAAAAAAAGCTCCCACAATCACAGTATGATTTTTTCTGAAAGTGAATCTCCTTTTACTGTCTTTTTCCTCACATTTCTTCTCCACAGCATGGTATAGTAAAAGATTGGAATGATATGGAGAGGATATGGTCCTACATTTATTCAAAAGATCAACTACAAACATTCTCAGAAGAGGTAAGAGGCTTTATCTCATTTCCTATTTCTGTCTTCATCTATCCTCATCTCATTCACCCTGAGTACCCCCCCCCCCCCCCCCCCCCCCCCCAGCAACAGTGCAGTAACACCTGATACTGTTTTTTCTTAATTGTTTTTCTTCTGGTAGGGCCATGCTTGCTCGATCTAGTTTTTGTCATGCAATGTGGCCTTTCTCAGATACAAGGGAACTTTTACTCATTCTTACATTGTATGCTCCACAAATTTCTCATGTTACATGTGTAAGAAATGTTTTGTTACTTTAGTGATTGTCTTTAGAGAGTCGAAAAAGAGATCACTCTAGATTTTATGTCGTATATGTTTCTCTCTCATCGATCCTCTTCCCCTGTTCCATGTCTTTTTTTTCACTATTTACTTCTTTTTTTTCTACTTATTCTTTATCTTATAGCATGTAATTTTTCTCTGTTGTCTCCTGTAATATAGCATCCAGTATTATTGACGGAGGCGCCTCTAAATCCCAGAAAGAATCGAGAGAAAGCAGCGGAAGTCTTCTTTGAAACATTCAATGTACCAGCTCTTTACATCTCAATGCAAGCCATTCTTAGTTTGTAAGTATCATAATGATTCTTGTACATTACATCAATATTTACAACCGTCTGAAAGGAATTTTATGGTATTAACACTGAACAAGGTTGTTCTGTTAATGGTTCCAATATATGAATTGCATGTGAGGGGTATTCCAAGTATAGATAGTACCAGTAAATTTGCAGCAAATTACATTTTGATTATTCATTCCCTATCCCTATTGTTTATTGCATTTATTTGCTTTGAATGTGTAATGACTTCTATAAACCAAGTCAAGGAAACATTGATAATATCAAATGCATATCATTTTGCAATGGGTTTATTGCAGACCACTTTTTACCTACGAGAAATATAAGGTGGGCACTATCAAACAACAAATGGAATAAGCTATACTGCACATAATATTTTAATCAGAGAGGAAAGCTTCACCTTCTACGATAAAAGTGTGGAAGAAAAGACAAGAATTTTCTCATGTGATGCTCACTTGCCTGATTAAATATAATTGCTTCACATTTGGTATGTTTATTGTTGTGTTTTTTCTTGTAAGTAGTAAATGAAAAAGTTATTTGCAGATATTTCAGCACCATTTGTACCTGCTCCATTACTGGCTCACCATGCTACACAAACATTTATTTTCTTTCTGTTTCTTACACTGACATTGTATTTTATAAGGTGCTTCATTTTGCATATCTCCGAAGAAGAAAAAAAGGGTGATATTTCTAATCTTCAATGAGAAATATTTTCAATAGAGATGAGATGACAATGTTCATTAAATTGAAAATGAATGTAAATTTCTTGTTATTGTTTCCAGATATGCTACAGGTAGAACCACAGGAGTAGTCTTAGATTCAGGAGACGGTGTGACGCACGCCGTCCCGATCTACGAAGGTTTCACGCTTCCGCACTCCATCATGAGAGTAGACCTAGCTGGTAGGGATGTGACGCGCTATCTACGACTACTACTCAGGAAGGAGGGCTTTGACTTCCATACATCAGCTGAGCTAGAAATAGTCAAGTTCATCAAAGAGGTAGGAATTAAAGCATCATTTGTTATCAAAAGATATTGACTGCTTACATGGCATGCATAATGATGATGAGAAAGTACTCTGATTTTGTACATATTACGGATTTAAATACAAATTCTCAAAAGCTGTTTACTTGTCATGAGCTGTGTAGAATGAGAAATGGAAGGCATAAGTAGAAAGAAAACATAATCTTATTAGATCAAGATCAATGATCTAAGTTATTTTACCTCCTTATTTGTTTCCAAGAAATATGGTTTTCAGGAGCTTTTAACTGTTAATGTTTTGCTCTTCATCAACTAAGATTTAAAAGGTTTACATTCGAGAGGGCTCCCTAAATCTGTACAAGGGCTTTAAGAGCAAAGAATATGGGGGCATTCGAGCTGTGATGTTTTGATCTGTATAGTTATATGATTAAGAGAATATAAATTTCAAGGAATTTCATGCTTCCTTGGAAGAGGAAAAGCTAAAGAAAGAATGTATAGTGTGCAATGGGCTTTAGTTTACAAAGTGTAAACTAAGATAAGATGATTGTTGGCAAAGATGAAGAGGCATTACCGACAATATCATTGAAAACTTTAATATTAATGTTTCTCTTGTAGCAATCGTGTTACCTATCAATAAATCCTCAGAAGGATGAGACGTCAGAAGCAGAGAAGACTACATATACCCTACCAGATGGCAGCCACTTAGAGGTTAGAATATGGTTTTCAGTAACAATTATTTTGCAGAAAGTTCAAAGTTCAGAGTGAGCATCACATTTGAATTTCAATTATCTGTATGAGTGGGACAGTAGCCAATGATGCTATCGCCAATTGGTCCCCACTAATTCATATTGCTGTTTTGCTACGATGGAGAGAGAAAAGAAAGGAGAACCATACAAAGGTCATGACATTTCTAATTTGACTTTTCATTGGAAGAAAGAAAAATTAATAAAAACAGACTCTGTTTATGTCCCATCAACTCCACCTATGGTTGTTCATGGTATTCCAAAACTGAGCATTTATAGAGATGGGAGTGGATTTCCAGTCAGGAAAGTTCAATATTGCCAAGAATTTAAAATTATTTAGATTTTGAAGTATACATGTATACTCTCTATAAAAGGCAAAATTATAGAATAAATAAGAAAATTGTGAATGATTTACTGTCAAACTAGACTAGTACGCTAGGAAATGTACAGATATCTATAGTGGTGCAGATTTGCAAATGTTTCACAAAATGACTGAGTCACAATTAACTCAACACCAATTTTTGGCTATCCGGTATTCGCAAAAATTTTTTGCAGTGAAAATTAACGTCCTTCACAATTTTGTGAAAGTTTCATGTCACAACAAATTTCTGGTTTAACAGTATACTGAGCAGTGGGTCAAGAAATAATTTTGGTCTCGTTATCAGGTTGGTCAAGCCAAGTTCCGAGCACCCGAGCTTCTCTTCCGACCCGACCTGATAGGTGAAGAATGTGAAGGTCTACACGAGGTCTTGACCTTTGCCATCGACAAGTCCGACATGGATCTCAGGAGAACGCTCTTCTCAAACATTGTCCTGTCTGGTGGATCAACGCTCTTCAAAGGGTTTGGTGATCGGCTACTCAGCGAGGTCAAAAACCTTGCCCCCAAGGATGTCAAAATTAGGGTGAGTGTTTGATGTTTCCCTTGGAGATGTGCCAATGCTAAACAGTGTACATATCAGTTTGCTATCAATTTGAGTGTTATGTTTGTTTGGAATCCTCATCAGTACAAAATAAATATTTCAGCTTAGGAATAGGAGAAGAAGAAAAATCTACTTGCAACGAGGGACCATCTGTTTGGAGCTAGAACGCCATTTAACCATTTACTTAACACAGATTTAATGAAACGTATTTTGACAATGAGCAGTTATAAGATGACAATTGAAAATGTATGATTTATATCTGTGATGAATTATCTCACATGGTTAGATAATCAGTACGCATATATTGTTTTAGTGTTAGTTATTTTAACATTTTAAAAATGTGTTTCTGGTTTTAATTTTAACAGATTTCAGCTCCCCAAGAGAGGTTATACTCAACATGGATAGGGTGAGTATATGTTATTTCTGGGCCCCGTCTTATAAAGAGTTGATATCAATCCCAACTTTATATATGCAATTGCAGCAATAAGAGATAGGAGAATGCAAACTTCCCATTGATTGGAGGGCTTGCGATTGATTTAAAAAAATCACAACTCTTTATAAGATGGGGACGTGGTCAACTATTAATTAGCCCTCTGATTTTAACATAAAAATTGAAAAAAATATGTATTCTATAATAAAATACTTCTTCTCTAGTTTAGTTTCGATTCTGTTTTTTGTTTTAACTTTTTGTTCACATGATTATTGAGAGGAAAGTAGAGTTTATATCTTTGTTTATAAAAATCCATTTAATAGTTGATAAAAGAATGTAAAGCCCATAGAGCATTATGAATTATTATGCGCTACATAAGCACTTTCTGTTATTATTTGATTTGATTTGATTTGCAGAGAAGAAGAAGAAAGGGGAGAGAAGGAGCGTTGGTAATAATACAATAAATCCAATACATCTGCTAATTGAATGCAGGTTCTTTCATGGATGGATAAACAATGCTAGGTCATGGACAATGACACATCATTGTTGAATGTATTATTAAACTGAATGGTCTCTTTTATTTTAATGAATCCCTTTTAATTGTCATTGTCTTTTCAAACATCATGTATTAGTTAGAAGCAAGTAGAGATAAAATCAGAAATCAACCAAGTATCTCCACAATAAGGCCAGCTCTTTTTAAATTCATCACATTTAATTTTGTTAAAAGCATATAAAACTAGAAATCAACTAAGTATCTCCAATAAGGCAAATCCCTCTTTAAATTCATCACATTTAATTTTTCTCCCGTTGCATCCACTTCTCATGTATATTACAGAGGCTCCATCTTAGCTTCCCTGGATACGTTCAAGAAGATGTGGGTCTCTAAGAAAGAGTACGACGATGAAGGAGTGCGAGCCATCCATCGGAAAACATTCTAGCGGAGAGCTCCAATTGTGTAATATTATTACCGAGTAACTTTAAACAGTAAAAAATAAGATACTTAATTAATCAGCTGTACAGTTCTTGATTATTAATTATGAAAACCATTGTATATGAATGCAGGGTGTGACAAACTATGGCTATTGTTGTAGATAAAGGCTGTAAGATCCATTATTTGTGTAGACAATGTGTCTGCAGTCAGACCGTAGCATTCTGCGCTAGATATTTTGAACAAGAGACAACTTCATTACTGAAGCTACTCACTACTATCAGGAAGACATTTACAAAAGAGGCTTACTTGTTCATAAAGAGTTTGTTAAGTCCCTGTCTCAAATTTAAGAAATGCAAAAATGAACAGTGAGTGATTAACGGGGAATACATCAGGCGTTTGTTCATTCTCTCTTGATCAGCATTCCAAGGAATACACAATTTTGAATATTGCTGTATAGAAAGTCATTTCACAAATTAGTTCTTGTAGATTTGCCTCTGAGTAGTACATGTAGTTCCAAGCTAGTCTAGTTTCCGGGGCGGTAGTTTGTCACGCCCTGCGCTTGGATGCCTATGATAATTAGCCTACCGGTATACAGTTATACAGAGCTTTCTATTCGATGTGAATCTCTTTGTCCACTTCTCCTAGACTTGCAGAGGGAAAATGTGCTCCAGGCAAGAAGGGTCAGACCAAAACCATCCACAACTTAATGATCTTTTAGGTTTTGGTTGGGAAAAATAAAATGGCTGTTAAGCAGTTCATTATGTAGAGCAGATACTAAATCATATTACAAGATTTGGTTTAGAAATGTCTCGATATATTCTAAGGGCAAATAATCTTACAAAGTTCATGCTGTCTTTGATGATTTATTTGTTCATTTGATATGCTTTACGAAACAATGAAGGAAATTCTTCAGTGGTGCCATCGACGCTTTGGCTGGCAGAAATGTAAAATAAACCATTCTGTAATGATGCAATTTTAGTATAGAAATCAAGTATGCAAAACATTCCATACTTTATCAGAGATGTAAATTATGAATAGGAAGACTGTTAATGAATATTGTGATCAAACTAGCAGATCTGCTGCACTGATAAGCCAAGCAAAAAGCTTGTAGACGAGCATGCTTTACTTCAGAGTTTTATGTTAAACTGCTCTCTAATAAATAAAAAACAATTAAAATGCTAAAGAGAAAAATGTGCTATAAACTTCTTGCCCTGTTCTTAAATTTTGACGACCTTTTACAAAAAAGCCAGGAGCATATTTTCCTCTGTATGTACAGTAAGTACCCCAGTAGTTGTATACCTGCTACCCTTGTATGTAGTGCTGTAACGTGTGCGTTGTGCAGTGTTCTCGTCTGTATGAAATTAAATCTCCATCTCACCAATTATCAATGGTGTTCCGTAGATACCATTGGAAGATATGAATATATCTTTGTCTGTCATGATGTAATCACATTATTCTGCAATGACACAATCTTTTATTTTCATGGAAGATTATATATGTCACCGATCATGTGGTTTCATTGCTAAATTACTCAACATGTTCATCTTAATCCCTTCACTAATGTGGGGTATAATTCCTGCACGAGCGTGTTATTGTTTTACTTTCACTTTAGAATATCAAATACCAGGTATATTCTCCCTTTGAAACATGCCATCATTTGAGCTGCAGTGAAACAATTTGATTGGCCTGTGTGGGACTGCCTGTTTTACCAGCTGTCAACAATTACCTATTTTTACAAAAAGCGGCTATTATTCGCAATTGGACGATATATACTCATGAATATATACATTTTTGTTTAGGCATGTCTACGGTGAAAGTTATTCAAGTAATAGATTTAACCCCCAATTTTACCTTAAAAACAAAGAATTAAAATGGTAATATGAATCTTACACATTCATTTTGTTACAATTGTATGTGTAAAGCTAGCAAGATGGAAGGGTTGAATGCATTAACCCCTACAGACTGGTATATAACTCTCTCAGCATGTCTCCTTTTTGTTTGATACGAAAGATTAGGAACATGATGTGACAAGCCATTCCTAATTGTGCAAAAATTGATACAATATGCAATTAGTTCCACTTTTGCACCATCATACGATTTCATTCTTTTTTAAACACAAAACCTTTACAAAATATTGCTAGCATGCATTCAAGTGTAAACGCTGGAAACAAAAGTCTTTTTTGTGTTTCTCTATTTAGTTGAAGACCCTATGCTGCATACATGTACATGTAGTTTCGCTTTCAATATTGCAGAGCTCATATTGAAATTATTGGGACGACCAACATGAATTCAAGCATAACTTATGAGCCACGATTTATGGCAAAAAAAGTAGATGGATTGGTAGAACAAGCTTCTCAATTTAGCATAAAGAATAGGATTTGTCAACTCTCTCCTAATGATTACCATAATACACTCTAGTTCGAAACATAATGTGTCTATTTGCAGTATGATGCAATACATGTTTCCTTCTTTGCTTTTTCTAAATTTATATGTTTGTATGTGCATTTGGCTTCCAGCCATATCCCAACATTAATTAGTATTAGATTGAGAAAAAAAATAGCACATAGCTACAAATAATAGCACATCAGCAAGTGACAATATTATTTGTATTGGCACAACAGTGATTGATGAAGATCCTTATGCTCCGACACATCTATGTTCTGGCATGTATGGGGTATATTTATGAGGAAGTGATATCTTGAAATGTTTTTTTCCACACGTATAGCCTTTGTTGCATAATTCAAATCTAGAACAGGTGTTTTTTATTTGAAAATCTGAATGTAGTCAATATTTATGGCTAGTCCGCATGTTATATTCAACATTATTTACTTTTAATTTATTACTTATTGTAAATATTCTTTAAACTTATTACTGTTTTTTTGCTTTGATATTTTTTATATATCAAATCATAAATTATTTGATTTTTGAATTATATTTCATTTGAAGAATGAACATGCCACTGATAATTTCATAGATGTACAGGAGTAACCAAAATCTCTTTTTAAGGTCAGTTCTTTTTTTAATGTTTTGTTTTTCTTCTGTTTTGGGGAATCAAGGTATGATTATTGGATTTGTGATTATAAATAATATCACTGTCTTATTTCATGAGTTTTGCATTTTTGTTTGTGTGTTTCATGCTAGGAATCAAACACAGTTAACTGAATTATTCATACCCTTACCTAGATTTTTAATTTATCTTGATATATGTTTCTTGATTACGTTACATATTAAACCTGGCATCTGAAAGTATTCAATAAATACCCTAATTCAACCAATCCATAATTCTTGAGTTATGAAAACAAAAACAAAAAACATTTAATTTACAAGGGGTATGAACAATTTAGTTAATGTATCTCAACAAATTACCGGTAATTGATTGTTTAGTTGGATATTGTATCATGCAAAGGAAATCGGTCAGTAACCACATAAATATGAAGATGCATTCTGTCCAGTGACCATCATTTATCTATCAGTTTGTGCAATTGTTAAGAAAAGCGTATACCTTTTTAAGGGAGTGTATCGTAAAAATATATTTGAAAAAACATGCTCAGTTTTCGTCTTATCACCACTTGGTAGAGGAAATATATTACCAACTCTTCTCCACTTTACCTCTTAAGAGCACCCATGAAAAGAATCCCTCTGTTTTTCAAATGTATTACAACCAATTACCTATCGAGCATATGTTGATGGGTGTTTAGGATAGTCTCGCCTTCCTGGTTTTACCTCCGTTTTTAGTAAGATATCCTCTTTGACAGATACCTTATTTTAGGATCTTGGAGATACATGTATGTGGCTGTTTAAACATAGTTATTTCCACTTGATATACATAGATGGCATGTTTAGCATAGATCCCCTTGTAGAAAATGCATCTCTGCTGAAAAGAAAAATATTACTGATACTTCTGCAATTCTATGTAGTGTAAATAAAGAAGTAATTGTGACTCTAAACAATGGTCTTATATTTTTGTTGTTTCATGTGTGTAATATAAGTCTAATGTCATTTTATCAAGAAGTAAGGCAATGATGAGTCAGTTAAAATTGGACATATTTTATGTAAATCACCACATAAATTAGGAGTTACAGTATATGTCTGTTATCTGGCAAAAAAAGATAGTCAGATATTATAAAAGTTCAAGACTACATTTTAGGCTCGATCAGATATGACTTTTTTTTTTAATGACGCTACGTGTAATACCGTACACTTGTGGCAACTTTTTTGTGGTAGTTTATCCCACACTATCTGAACAAGCTTTTACGTAATGATTCATTTAAAATGAACCCCTTTGACCACGATTCCCTACCCCCAGACACCTACTGACAGTAGGGAGATACATTGTATATTATTTAGAATGGGGCAGTGGCAGTACATTCAGTTGTATGGGATCAGTACTTTCATGGTAAATGTCTTGGGGCTCATTCTGATATGACATGGTAAACTCGCACCCCCACCCCTAAAATAAATTCTTGTTTTAAAACTGCCACAAAGGTCCTAAATGTATAACATCATTATAAAAAACATTTAAAAAACACTATTCATCACCTCATATCTGAATGTGGCTTTACTAGGATATGAGGTATGATAGTCACATTGCCCAATTAAGAAATACAGAGACAATCATTTGTGTTTCAAAAAAATCTTTAATTGTGACATTATTGTGATCTTTTACAAGAATATAGCTTCTTTGAAGCACCTTCACTGCACAATAGAGCTAAAACGAACAGAATATTCAAATACATGTACAATTACCAAAACGATTAACATGTACAGTACACTCCACATCATAATTGAAATGAAAACAAAATAGAACACCCAAAACAAATAACAAACAAACAAGCAAACAAAACAAAACTTACAGAATGTCCGGTGAGAGCTAATAATGCATTAAACTCGTATTGTTTGATGGACAATCCAGCCCTTGTAATGAGTTCACTACAATAGAAGCAGAAAAATCAGAAAAACCAAATGGTGAAAATTTGATATAAATCAGACCTACAGTATGAGTTATAAATGCTTGAAATATGAGATCACTACAATTTGGGCAATTTTGTCAGTTCATTGTGATATAGTTATGGATAACTCTACCTGTTGTGTACAAAAATATCACTAATTCATGTTTTTCTATGTAGTACCTCCACACTTCGGCCACTACTCAAAATAAATTATGGAGAGTACATTATTACAAGTCCTCTAATATGAAAATACCATCCAGAGTCATACATTTTTGAAAAATTGACATTTTAGTGACTTTTTTGTTGGAACAGATGGAAAAGTTGATCACCACAACATCACAAAGACGATACCAATTTAGGATCATTCAGCCTATTGGAAGAGCCCATACCTACAGTGATCGCAACTTTCAAAAATTCATCAATTCAAACAAATCCAATTTCATTCAAATTTTCACCAGTATGCTTCTTTAGAATAGTTTGCTATCAAGTTAGAATTTCTCTTTAACATACAATGTAAGGTCAATGCCCTTCTAGGCTCGAAACAAATATGATTTCTATACACACTTTAAACACTAAGGCACATACTCGTAACGTGAACATTAAAACCTGACTCTGGTTTCAAGCTTTTGTCCAAAATTGGGTTTATCAAAGGAAGTTATCTGAGCTCTTATTTTAATTTTTTTTTGGTCAAACATGATCTTAGAACCCCAGGTCAGGTTTAACTGAATTAGTAAAATATTTACATTTAGAAGAGAATGTTATACCTAAAACCAGGAAATGAAAAGTAACATAATCTACTATATGTCTTAAGCCCACCGCACACTATATAATCATCTTCATGTGATCCAATTTTCAAAGAAATGACAATAGAACTATAAACAAATAAGGTTTCCTGATGTAGCTTCTAAATAATGATAAAAATATTAAGGAGCAGAATTGTAACTTGTGCATTTATAGTGTAGTGTGCAGTGGGCTTTGGATCTCATGTTTAAATTTAAGCTTTAATATGTAAATGGCTTATGTAAATGGCTTATGTAAATGACTTATGTTTGGGCGTTGTAAGAACATGTTCAAGGAGATGTAAAGATCTTACTTTTGGCTTGAATGTCATTGTGAAACTGAAAGTAGCATCTTAATACCCCAGCTACACAGTCTAAGCTTGAAGTAGGACATTTTGTTTGTCTTAATGTACTTCTCTTAAGAAATGATGAATCAAATACTGCTGTAATTAGCTGTGACAATGCAATAATGAGAATGGCAAGGCAGAAATGCCAGATAAAATCTGGCATAGAGTCAGCTGAAATGCAATTACAGAATGAAATTATGGAGAGTGAAATTTCACAGACAATACCACAATAATGCAGACTATAAAATTAATCATATAAATTACATCACATACTGGGGGTTTCAAGAATGCTGAAAATTGGCTTATTCACTCTTAATACACTTTTAATAGGGTTCAAGCATATATCAGGTACCCGTTTACACCTGGAGAGTGCCAAATGCAAAGAAATGTCTTGCCAAAGGACGTTGGTGCTGGGCTGGGTTTCAAATCCTCGACATCATGATTAAAAACCAAGTGAACGGACCACTTCACTTTTCCATGACACCACTTAATTTTCAACACTAACCCAATGCAAAGGAAAAGAAAAGCAATTAGAATTGCACAAGTATGGTGTAAACTACATTTATGCAGAATGAGGGTCGAGGGATAACATACTTCATATGCAAACTACATGTGAAGGGACGTAGTAACGTGCTTCTAATACAGCTATCAACAAACTGATTTAGACATAGAAATTAACCAACACTGCACAGCTCTAAACAAGTACTATCACAATGAAATCTGAATTTTAAAATTTGACCAAAATATATACACATCTTGCTCCTTATAGCTATAATGGGTCTGAAAATTAAATTTATCAAATTTCAACGGGCAGGCTCCTTCCACAGTAATTAATTCCACAAAACAAACAAAAACATCAATAGTACAGACCAAACACTTCCAGTGGTCTATGACTGTGTCTACTTTGATGAGCTACTAGTAACAAGTAACTAGTGCATGTATCCAGAATTTATCTTACACATTGAAAAAGTAAGCTTCGATATATTAAATTCCAAACAAAAGAGAAAACAATGCTATCTTCAAACTGGACCTAAGATGTACTAGTACAACCCACTAATACAACACACATACCGGTATTGTCTGTTTGGAGCAAGAAAAGCGTTAACTCATATAGTTAATGCCGTTCTGGCTCTCATCAGTCATCAGTCATTTCTTATCACCATGCAGAGAACAGTTTGGGCAAGTTTCATGATTAAAAAGATCACATCACATGATGAATTCAAATTCTATAACATAATTTTGATTTAGAAATGGATAAAATCAAGACACAAATAAATATCTGGAAATGATCATTTCAGAAATTTAGAAAGCAAATTTTGCAACAATATTATTACCAATTGTCTAATATGATTCGGACATCATTAAAACAACAAGAGCTGACCAACCAGTGAATGGGTGACACCCTTGCCCTCTCCCAGATATATCATTGTAATTCTCCCACACATATCCTGACCTATTATATTGCTTTATGATATTATTGATGATGTTTGCCCTGAGTTCGCTGTACATCTCTTTAGCTGTAGCGGCATAAGGGCCGGGTACATTGGCATAATGATGCAAGGCACGCACAGCTAGGTAATTGACGTTGATCCACACAGCTCCGCGCCAGTATGGTGCATCGTGTTCTGTGTTGTGTTTCATGTACAAGGGATCGCTCTTTGATAAGGATCGAAGACCGTAATTGGTCCACAGTATATCTGGGTTTTTCATGTCGGTGAGAGTCTTCCCGAGTCTGTCAGAGTTGGGGTCCAGGATCTGAAGAAGGAATGGGAAGAGGCTGACGTAACCAAACGAATTGACGTACTTGTTGGTGGGTCCGACTTTGGATTTGACGACACGAACCATCTCCATCTGCTGGGCCGGTGGTTGACCTGGCTGACGGGGTGGTGGATGGGGGCGCTCTAAGACGACTCGGGTCGTATGGTTCCCAAAGTCACTGAACATCTTCGCCTTTGGGGACCAATGGAGCTTATCTAGGAGAGCATTGTTAGTAAGGAGCTGCAAGGTATGCTCGTAGTGAGCATAGGGTAAACCAATGGTCTTGCCAATCTCAACCATCACGCTTGAAGCCAATGCCATCCAGCAACGCAGGTCAATGTGCCGTTCTTCATTTGAAGGGTGCGAGGCTCGAGGGTAATCGTCAAATCCGGAGGTCAGTGTCTTGGGATTTAACTCACGATTTGTCTTGCTTTCACGACCCCTCCAACGATAGGATGTTGGGACAGGACCATACTGGGTTGTGTTGAACCATTGGTACCATTTATCTAGCCTGGGGTAGATATGCTTCAGGAATGAGACGAACTCTTTTTTCGGGATGACGGATGATCCATCTCTTAATAATGACTGGAGGGGAAGGAAAAATGTAGGAGGGTTAGCATTTGTATCTTGCTGCACTACAAACTCGGCAGGCACTTTACTCCTGGCCTCAGAGTCCAGAATCTGCTCTCTAGGTATCCAACCATCTGCATTCATCAAATCAAGCCAGTGGCCTATGATGTCAATGCTGATGTATGGATTCCACTTGCTAATCAAGAGATTGTGAAACCCTTCATCCCAGAGAAAACCTCGAGGAAAGAAAGACCTGGAAGGCACTGCAGTGTAGAGAGGAGCTTCCCAGTAAGCCACAGGTTCTGTATTATGCTTTGATTTCACAATTGAACTCCCATAGAAATATCCGATACCTCCTATCATGTTACTCATTGTTGCTTTGGCAAAGGCAACTTCAGAAGGTCCGTACCCTTTCCCAGTCAAACTAAACTTCTCTTCAAACAGCTTGTTGAAATCGTCGCTGTAACTCTGCACGAGACTTGTCAACTCTGAACCGGCAAGCTCCTTCCCCCTGTTCATTTTGCTTCCAGACTCGAACACAACATCCATGATGTATGGAGGTGCCACAGTCACCTGATACACGATGATGTTGGCTGTCTTGTCAGGTGACGCTTCAATCGTTTGCTGATCATTCCCAACCAGACCAAGAAGCTGGGTCTTCTTCTTGTGATACTTGAACCGACGCGTAACGAGGTCCTTGATGGCGTGGAGCCCCGGTGTGTAGGACACCAGGTAGTTGTTCATCTTGACCTTGGTTGATTGCGGGAAGCGAAGAACAAACTTCCCAAGTTCTTCAGTGGTACCCTTGATGCCCTGCAGTTGGTTTCCATTCAAGATTGGCTCAATGGATCCCTGACCATCCAGAGCAAAGTAGAACAGGAGACTCAGCGCACTCTTCTCCTTTGCCTGCAGGATCAATGATACAAAAAGAACATCTTTTATAAATGTAATGCTTCCTGGGAGAAATTTCAATTATTTAAACATATTTGTGGCTTACACCCAGTAAATAAGATTGATTGATCAATCTATAATTGAAAAACAATTACAGATCAATTTTCGATTACAGATCGGTCAATCCATCTTATTTACTGGGTTTAGCCACAAATATGTTTAAATAAAATGAATATCATTATTAAATATTTCACAGGGTTCCCCCAGACATTCGAGTACAATATTCCAAGACTATCCACGATTTTCTATGACTCGTTTTTGACCTTTTCCATGACCAGATGGGTTGCGGCATCAAAGCGGCCTAGAATACCATGCAGTGATATTATTGCATGTTTGTGATGGTCTCTGCCTTCCTCTCACAATTTCTGGTACTTTCCCTGACTTGGAGAGATTTTTGGTCATTTTCAATGACCATGCAGAACCCTGATTTCAGTACTAGTAATTCTTTTCTGTGTTTACATAGTAATTTTGAAATGTCCATCTGATTTAAAGGACTACAGGATTAGTACAAAGCCGAACAGTATGCTCGTTGCAACATCACAACATATATATATATATCTAGGCAATGAAAATTATTTAATACAAACATGATCATCAATTAATGAGTTAATATTTTAAAAAGCTACAAACTGAAAATTCTTGTTCAACTGTCTTTAGACTTTGTCTAGTTTAGCTCCTGATCATGAAGTGTAATTTGTTTAATCTTAACTTTCGTCTTGTTTTGAATAGGTGCAGTAGGACGTAATATTGACAGTTGTATCTAACTTTACTCTTGTGCAGATATAATCTTACAATTACAGACATTACTCATTTCAATAATAAACTCAGCACAAACAAGATCATTGACTTGTACTACTAGGTAAGAGGCAGCTAGGTTTAACCAACTACTTACAGCATCTACTCCATCTTTGTATCGGGCAGAAATAGAAGCTGACCAGTCTCCTCCATGGGCACCACCTCCACTTTTGGCAAATGCAGTTTTGATTTGAAGTGGACCATCGAAAATATCTTGAATTCCAAAATTGACTCCATCATGTTCAAGCCAGCCATACTTGTCCAACCCATCCCCTTGTTCACATGTATGCCTGAATTTGAGATCTGGATTTTGACTAGGCGAGGTAGGTTGTTGGAACCACATTAGTCCCGCAACAGGTGATTTCGGAGAGCGTGTTTTTAAGCCAAAGTAGACGCCGGGGCGGTAGGTGCCCCAAAATCGCCCGGGACTGTTGGCGGCGGAACTGGCATCGTTAGCGATGGTGAGAGGAGCACTAAGAGGAGTCTTCACTGCAGATCTGAGGACGTGCTGATACCACAAAAGCATGAGTGGTACACTAACGATTAGAGAGGTCAAAAGAAACACCAAGAAATTCTTAGAAGTTGATTGCGTCTCATTATTGCGAGACTGCGCCCCGTTTCCAGACTTAGCATGCTTAGTTTCCCGGCTGCGAGCCCCTCCCCCTGAATCTGCTATCCGAGTTCGGGCAGCCATGCTCATACTAGCCTTTTGACAAGGCCTCGTGACTCTAAGCGGCTGAGATGAGTCTAGATACCCGGAGTGAACGCGCGACCGAGTGACGGAACGTCACGAGGCCTTTTGAAAAGTGGGTTTCACTGCTGCGCATGAATTATTCATAGATAACATGCCAATACGCCTACTTTGGATTTATTGACCAATCAGAACGGCGATCTCCCAGTTGGCTTCGTTCGTGATTCGTTCCATGTAGAGGTCAGTGGTCTTAGCACGTACGTAATAGTTCATAGCATGTAGGTCCATGTTCGCACTACGTAGAGTTTACTGTGTGTGTGTGTGTGTGTGTGTGTGATGGATACTACTATGCTGACGTCGTGCGAGGATACGTTCGCTGAATGAACGCTCCATTTTCTGGAGCGAATTCTAGTCGGAAACAATGGTTAACATAAGAAATCCAAATCAGATTGATAAAGGCCACTAGGATGGGCTCCTCGCTCTCGCGTTCACTTGGGTTTGCGCGATTAGTCTCGTTTTAGTCGCTCGGCGTCTATCAGACAAGTGGCCTTGTTTAAAGGCTATGCTCATACCCGTACCCGCTTGTTTACGTTGCTTCGGCATCTGCCGCTGGTGACCGGCCTGGTTCGCCAGGTTTCATCAACAAATTTCAAATCTTGGAACGATGTGGATCAACAATTCGTGCCCACTCTAACATAACATTTTGCAGCTCCAAGGCCAAGGGCAAGGCTGATCAACCAAGCAAGCCAATTCAAAACTGATAGGCCTGGCCCTAGTGATACTAGTCTAGTTTAACTTTAAGGTCAATCAAGGTGACGACGCCGTTGTAGAGAGAGCTAGAGACTAGTCTTGTAGCCAAGCGCAGCTTTGGCCACGTGTATTTGTGTAGTCTCAAATTCGGGCGTATGTCATGTCACACGCAACATGTTTGAAGAAAAACAAAATCACATTTGTTCCCCGGTCCAAACTTTGATTACATCTAGAATGCTATATGTATAGATTATTGCATAAATCATTTTTTTGTAAACGATATAACTTTCCATTTCAATGAACAACATAATAAGTTATGTTTGACCGTATTTGTACTGATGTTGTTATAATTCTCAGTATATATATATATATATATATATATATATAAAAAATTAAAAAAAACCTGCGCATGTCCTCTCGGTTTCTCCGTCGGCTATAGATGTGAAATCAATGATGATGAATTTGATTGATTTAATTATTTATAATCTTTTGTCAGGGTAACCCATTCACCAATATACATAGTGGTCTTCCATGCTTTGGGGCCCTGAATAAACATGAACATTTTACACAAAAAGGTAAAACAGAACAGTACATTTAGAAAGATATAACACAGCAATAAAAGACGTGGCACATATAAAAACATAAGCGTCTGTTTCGAGGAATCAACAAGTCGTATGTATAAAACTTGGATTATTTCGCATCTGCAATAAATAAATAAAATACATAATCTTTCGTGTTTCCTTCTTTTGACTATAAAACTTTATTTAGCGTGTTAGATGGCGCCATTTCCCTCTCTGCGTTCAGACACGTTCATTGTATTGAACAGTACTTTTGCAGCAAAGTCGTTTTGGCCCCGCCCTCCTATAAGATTGATCGGAAAGATCATCACAGTGATAGTTCAAGTTCAAGTTTATTTGTCTTTCTTCTAGCATGAGTGTAATACAATTTAACAAATTTGTAACATGTAGAGTAGCATTTAAGTGAGAAAAAAAAGAAGATGAGGAGACCTTAAGAAAAGCTTAGCTTGTTGAGGTCAGGTCCCTCAGACCAATATCATATAGACCAAAAAACAGCCTGGATATATAATAATAGATTAATACAAGATAATTATGTTCGTTAAAGGCGCTTAAGTACAAATTAATAACTATAACCATAAAGGGTGATGAGGAGAAGAGACTATAATAGGGCGATAAGAGTGATAATAACGTGGGATATAGAAATGGAGAGAGGGGCGGGAGAGAGAGAGAGAGAGAGAGAGAGAGAGAGAGAAGGGGGAGAAAGAAAAAATGGACAAACTATCGCTGTAAGCTGAAAGCTAGCTACAAGCGAGACTGAAAGGAAAGAAAAGGTAAGTTGGCAGTTGATAGGCCTTCTGTAATAAATTGAGGAACGGATCAAGTTCAAATATAAATCACGGCAGCATTACAGTTGCCCGGAGGGGGGGGGGGGGGGTGGGGCGGCGGGGGGGGGGGGGGGCTCCATGTTGACTTAGTGGTGCATGAGAATTAATTTTAAATTAAGCAAAGTATATGAACCCGATCTGGATCTATTAGTATCCCTAACCTGTCGGGTATTGATCTTTCCTTCTTTAAAACTAAAAAGGTAAAACTAGAAAATGATACAGAAATTTGATGTGTATTTCATTTGATTTTTTGATTTTTATATTCGTATTATGTAAATTCATTGATTTTTTTTTATTGTTTGATTCGGTTATTTGTGATTGGACTGTTTCATTTTGAATACACCTCTATGATAAACAACATTCGTGATGATCAGCTAGGATTCATCCCACAAGTGCTAAATAAATTTTAATGAATGAATAAATATTTGAAAATTAGTAAAACATCGCAGTTACCAAGCGACTGACATCGGACTGACATCTTAATTATTTGTATCGATGGAATTCGGAAGACCGGACATCGTGGCTTTCTGGCTACAGACGTGGAAGAGGGGACCACGGCCCGTTGGAATGATCGGAAGGGGATGCATGACATGATGGGGGGGGGGGGGGGTGCTTTATTATTATTTTGTCCCGTTGATCGAGAATTTGGAGTAAGAAAAAGGGCCCTCGTTCGGTATTCCCTTCGTCATGCCTTGCTCCCACCCCATATACCTGTAGTGAACTGTTTAGTATTGCTTGGTTTCAAATTAAAAAGATAAGTAAAATATCCCTATATGACTCTAAATAAACTTGAGAATGTTGATGTACCTCTGCCCATTATGTATACTGGCTATATTGGCGGAGCATGGGCACGTGCGGCATGCGGTCATAATGAATCCTGTTTTCTCCCCTGTCATCTCCTTTTCATTTTTCGCTCTCATTTCCTCACCCCCTCTGCATTCTCTCTCTCTCTCTCTCTCTCTCTCTCTCTCTCTCTCTCTCTCTGTTTTCTTTTGTTTTAAATTATGACAGACAGACGCGACGGAAGCAGTTTGGGATGGGGAGGGGGGGAGGCAAACATTCCAGGGGGCTCGATCACCTTCCAGGGGCAGTCCGTGGCGTAATGAGCAAAAACGTAGTTTGGGGGGAAGAAAAATCTGCATCATGCCACCACTTTAACTTGTTACATAGGCCCCGGGGAACGTTTTTCAAAGTGGAGTATTGATCAGGAAGAGCGTAGCGAGCGAAGTGAGTGGAGCGTAAGGTCCAGTGGGGTCCAGGGGCTTTGCCCCGGCGGGGGCCAAGGGCGGAGCCCACGGAACCTCAGGGTTTTTAGGCATTGAATTACGGTCAGATAAGCAGATCTAGATACCTCATTTGTGACACTGGAGTGGCAGGTGGCAGGTCACTAATTGGCGGGGGGGGGGGGGTCCAGGGGGTTGTACCCCATGAAGCTCAGGGGTTTTAGGCATTTAGTTCAGATGAGCATCCATGCAGGGGCCCGCCTAGCATATAGGGCCCTTGGTGGGGTACAGGGGGCAGAGCATGCACCGGCTCAGGGGTTTTATGTATTTAATTATGGTTAGATGAGCATCCAGGAGCTCTCCTTAGGGCCCTCATGGTGGACAGAGTCCAGGGGGCAAAGGAAGCTCATATTTTGAAAGCTCACTTTCAGGTCACTCATTCTTTCCTTCTTTTTCTCCTAAACATCCTTTGTCAAAATTGAGAGGGGCTCGAGCCCCCGAGCCCCGCCGTTCTGCAGGCCCTGGCTTGAAGGCTTCTAAATAAGCATATCTTTTGCCTGACTGTAAATTTGGGAATTTGTAATTTCCAACAAACGCATACCATACAATACAATATAGGTAATTTACAAAAAAAATTGAGAAAAATCTCAGAAAATCATGTTATTTCCTCAACAATTGTAAATCACCGGTATCGAATTAGAAATAAACCCCCATCAGTACCCACGACTTCAGGGGCTCATGTCTTCTCACCCCTATAATATATTTAAAAAAAATATATATATATATATATATCTTTCCCATCCTCTCACAATATTTCAACGATATACGCGTATTGCTAATACAAATTCATCGATTGATAAATATAGGGCATACAGAATGATTAGAAATTTTAATTCCTGATTATTTTTATGTCATTCAATTAGACCTCTAGTCTGGTTTTATCTTTTTTATTTTTTTTTTAGTTTAATTTTGTAATATTTTTTTATACTCCTTTACTGCTGCTTATTTTTCGGGGGGGGGGGAGGGCAAAATGCGTTTTGCCCCCCCCCCCCCCCCAACTTTTTCGTTGGGAGGAGGCGAGGCACTCAAATTATGAATAACTGTATCTAGTAAGTTTCTGCGCAAACTCTGAACTTTCAAGACGATCCCTTGACACAATACTACTACAACTACTACGAGGTATGTCGCATATGCGGGTGTAAACATTATAATCGCAAACTACATCAATGATTTAAATACAAATTTCCCCGCCTTTTAAAACAATTTTTCAATTGAAACGTATACAAATATGAAACTTATAAGGGAAATTGTATATCTATGTCATTTTTTAATAGAGAATTCTATACTACACCGATGTAAATCTCTACTGAAATACGGTTTAGTTTGACAGCTTTGTACGAATTATATATACTTCGCTGAAAGCAATACATTTACGCATGCGCTGTGTGTCCTTGCGCGGGATACACACAGCTTTTCCCTTGTTCTCGTTGATGCGTTTGTGTTTGTATGCGGCGTGTGAAATCGAATGGGGACTTAAATTGTCCATTCACGTAGTACACAAATAGCCAGACCCGACCCATGAAAAAAGCTGGCTATGTCAGCTGTATTACTGGAGCCAAAAATGGCTTCGCAAATCGTAGAAGACAGTCCGAAAATCGGATCTGTCTTACCAGTTGAAGTTGAACAAGCTCTTCCAGACCTGCTAATGGTATCACTGAAGTCCGGGGGTAAAGTTTTTCGTGGTGTTCTGATCGACTCAAACTCAGGGTAAGTGAAAAATACGTGTAAAAAGTGACCATGAAATCTCGAAAAATATAGGAGTGGGCCTGGCTGTCGATTATGATGATAGGATTTTGTTGGGAGGGTGCTGTCAAAATTAAGGATGATGCCAAAAGTTATAATAACAGGTTTATTTAATAAAAGTAAGATGAAATTATATCTGTACAATATTGGAAAGGTGAAAGAAATCAAAAATATATGATATTCTTGATTTAAGTTAAAATTATGTTGCTGACTTGCTGTTTATGTCGCTGACACAATTGCTACCCATTCCAATCGCCCAACTTGTCATTTTGCATTAATGCTTTTGAAACATCTTTGCCTCTGAGAAACACATTAAAGATAACAATTTCCTAAAGTAGCCGTAATGACGATAAACAAATTGATAATGAGATACATATGGTGTAACCGATTCCATTATTTTGTAGTCTGCCGCTGTTCAACTTAATTCATGCAAAAGAAGTTGTTAAAAAAATGAAAGGGTAAAATCTGAGGTCGAAAGAGTGGAGGTGAACAGCTTTCACTGTGTTGGGTAAATGACACCTTAAGACCACAGGTGATCAGAAGTAATTCTTTCTATATTAATAATAATGTATGCCCTAGCTAACATTGTACTTTTCCTCAATGACTAACGTTTTCTTTCAGCATGTTCTTTCAGCAAGTCATCAGATTCTGTCCAATTTAAATTCTAGAGCCAGGTTTGGTTATAATCAAACAAAAATCATGACTATAGTTTAAGCCCTCTGTAACCATTTGATGGAACTACCCAAAGTCAAGATGTCTCTATAACTTCTGTTCTGTCATGTTTTAAAATATGACTTCTTGTTGGTAAGATATGACGTTTTTCAGTCATGAATATCCTGCAAGAGACTAGGAGAGTCACAGCATTTTTTTCCTTCTGTGTCTGACTATCTATATGGACATTAATGTTGCCCGTTTGTTAGCTGTGTAGTTATTATAGTTATTGTAGGAACATAGACTAGTGCTAGTGCTAGTGGAAAAAAGGAGTCTACCACAAATTCTGTTCAGCTGCAATGTGGTTTGAAGTTGCAATATTATTCAACGAATTAAAAAAGAAAAGTTGCAATATTATTCAAGGAATTCGAAAAGTTGATTTTGTCATCTTGAAATTTTTCATCTGATCAGGAGACAAAAGATAGATGTATCATTTAATGAAAGTCACAAGTCGTCTTTTATCTCCCCTCTTGTAGCGCTAACATTCTCTTGAATTTTACATTTTTATTTTATTCTTTCTTATGCTCAGATTTAGACAGGATTCCAAGAGCCTGGTGGGAGAATTTGCTGAAGCTTGACCTACTCCTTAACTCCTTAACTCCCGATGTTGTGTCTAATCTGATACCACAATGCATTTTATATTTCCCCTCAGATTTCAGCCTTACAGTGTAGCTTTACTAATTACTTGGAAAGTGTGAATCCTGTTCTCTAGTTGCTACCAAAAGTGACTCCAGAAAAACCAAACGATTCAAGATGTCATGGATCAATATATCTTTGTCAATAATAAAATATGTTCATATTCTGCGCTGCTCTCCACAGTTGGATACCAGTACATTTGTTCCCCAGAATCTAGGTTTATGAGACACATCCTACAAATAAGAGATATATAACTTTTTATAAAATGATAATTACCATGGAATGTCTTTCATTTTCCAATTCTATGCAAATAATCTATTGACAACAGCATCTTCCTAGAACTCTCAGACTGGGATCTATAGAAAGCATGTGTTAAGCAAATGAAATGGTATACAACAGGTTAATAATAGGAACAGATGCATACAAATTTATCCGCTGTACACGTCCTGGTATCCCTGAACCCTCACTACTCCTTTTACATCCTGAGTTAGTTCTGGGATTTCCGATAGTATCAGCTGTTTGACAGTGAATAAAGGGTACTGTTAGAGTTGCCCAATAGCTCAAAGCAAGCAAATTTGTCAACTGAACATGTTTAAAAATATCAACCCTAATATTGAGTTGGCCACATGAAAAAAGAGGGAATTGGAGGGTATTAAACTCTTCCAACAGCCAGATTGTTGAACAGATTTGTTATAATTACTATAAAAAAACACAAGGTGTCTCTTATTATAGAGACTGATAAGCAAGAGCATTAGGATGCTGCTGATGTAGAGCTTTTATTTTATTGAAATTTGAAAAAGAACTGGTTCTCCTGACCCTACTGATTTTCATCTCAAGAAATGGATGAAAACCAAATCTTTTATTATGCTCCCCATTTCCAATTATGAAACCAGGTTAGGTTAATTTTATACCTTACATGTAGCCAGTACATATATTAGTCAGATAACTATGCCCAAATGTCTAATTGAGATTCTTTGTGTGTTTATGGTGCTCTCTTAGAGCATGTCCTGTAGGTGTACCAGACCCTTCAAACCTCGGCTCACGGCTTAACAAGGAGTTTGGCGTGCCAGTCATAGACACCGCTTTCATCAAGCACGAACAGGATCCGGGCACAGGGGACACTGCTACAAAAGTAGAGGACTCTGCCTTGAGCTTCAGACAGTCCTACTTCCAAAATATGCCACTGCCCCCTGCAAGACCACTTCTCTTCGGCAAGAAGGAGAAGACACCAGAAATCAAACCAAAGACAATTAGCCATGTAAGGTCTAGACAGTTTCGGCTGCGGCCTCGACAGTTGCTTTGTAGCAAGTGCAAAGGGGCTTGTCATTCAGCTAAAGCAAAGACTGCTGCAAGTAACAGACCTGATAAGAACGGTCTGAAGAAGAGGAAAGCAGACTCATCAGGTGATGTTGTCCGCAAAAAGCCCAGACCCGACCCTCGTGTGATTACAAATGGTGGAACAAATATGGCTAAACCAAATGCAGGGGCGTCAGGTTCCCGTCCATTGAGTACTCCAGCAAAGTCAGTAAACAAGTCTCTCAAGAAAACTAGCCCTGCCATCAAGATATCATATGCAACGCCTGGGAAAGGACAGAGGTTGATTGTGAGGATACCACCTCGCACAAACAATTTTAAGCAAGGTTCTCCTTCTACAGGGATCGGTTCCAAGAATAAGAACAGAGTACTAACCGTTCCATTGTCACCGTTATCTTCACTTGGTAAGCATACAATTGACTCTTTAAAGAAGATGAATGGTCTGCATAAGGCACCAGTGAATACCCAGCATGATAAGATCAGGATTGTAAAGACCAAAGGAACTTATTCAATACCTTCAGAAACATTATCAATGAGAACTTATGGCCCTCTACCTGGGTCACCGAAGATAGTGAATGGAAAAAAACTAGTAGGAAATGTCACTGTCAAGCCAATAACATTACTTAATGGGTATCGGCCACTAAGCATCATGCAGAAAAAACTGCCATGCACCCCTAATATCTTGCCGCCATTTGAGATCAGTGACACAGCCAGTGATTGTTCATCTTATACTAGTAGAGGATCAAGGAAAGGTGGTAAGAAGGGCAAGCAGAATGGTTCCATCAACAACAACAATTCAGAATATGAGTTTGATTCTGACGCATCGTCGACGGTAGCCCCTAAGAAGAAAGAAGAGGAAGTGAAACCCAGCAACCACAAGAAGAATGTGACCAAGAGCATTTTGCCCGGAGGTCGGACAGTCTGTGTAGGTGACATCATCTGGGGGAAGATCACAGGGTTCCCTTGGTGGCCGGGACGCATCGTCCAGATCATCGTGACCCGAAGCAACGAGGGCGGCATCACTCTGCAGGAGGCCCAGATCACCTGGTTCGCGTCGCGCTCCATCTCCTTCATGCCGCTCACCAAGCTTCCACCGTTCCTGGGGGAGTTCAAGAAGCACTACGACAAGAAGAGGAAGGGGCTGTACAAAGAGGCCATCTCGCAGGCAACCAAGGCTGCAGAGGCACTGTCCAGTGAAGTACGAGAACTCCATACTATGTTTGAAACTCCACTTAACAAATCCTAACCCAAGGTGAGTCACTGTAGATTCATCTACTAATCCTGCATCATCGCTCTCTCTCTCTCTCTTCCTGGGGAACCCACGCTATTATGACAGTTTCCTTTACCCAGATACAGAAACCATTTACTGTTTCATTCGGAGGCGGAAATACCTTGATATTCCTCCATTAAAAAGAGAAAAAGATCAAATAAATTTTCTTCCATTTTCAGGCTATTGGTTTGTACATAAACGGTTGCAAATGTACATTTATAGGTATATTTCGTCATATTTGGTATTCTTTTCTTTTGTAGTTTCTTTTGCAGGAGATGTCTTTGTTAACATTTTATCAATAGGCAGAGAGCTGTTAGCTACAGGTCTCCAGAGCTATCACCTGAGCTTGTTGCTCAGACACTTGAAGTTCAACAACCCAGATAGTATTTCATCTTCATGTGTAAAAAACAGTTTGTTAGGCATCTTTATGATTATCAAGTCTTCTTCATTGTAATAATGAAGTCGTAGCAGCAGTGGTCCTATAATAAAGTGAGGTAAGGTATGGTATGTTATTCCAGAAAAATTGGCAGCTGATGGTTATAAAGAAAATTCAAGATAGGAATACGTTATTTCAATCATTGCATAGATAAAACTTAGCACTACCGTTATGCTTTTTGGCCTCCATCGACTTTTGTTTGCATTGTGCCTGCAAATCTGTTCCTGTCCTTTGTGGAGTTGACTGGCCCTGTACCGACATGGCCACATAATTTGGGTTTTCCTGTCTTTGTGTTAATAGTCCCCCTTCTCCATGTCTGACCATGTTTAAACTTGACAACCCCATACTAACAAATGGGAACTCTCACATTGAATAAATAATAACAACTTTTTAACTTAATATAATTATCAAAAAATTGTCCTACCTATTTTGTCCAGGCCCTGTAGTTGGTCTAGTAAAGCAATATGAGTTGGTTTAGCGGTAATATCCGCGCCATTCCGTGGTATTATCAGTTCTCTCTCTTCGCGTACTCGTGACTCTGATCGGCCCAGGTTCAAAACTGGGTCATGTCTTTTGGATGGCCAGTCTCAGATGTGAATAATCATATCTGATTGATACACGTCTGTTAAAACCCTAATAAACACACACACACACATTTTTTTCCAGAGTGAAACATATGAGTAACAGCAAAAAAAGTATGGCAGGCTCTGTACATATAGGACTGAATCCTCCCTAGAAATTACATTAATAGCTTACGGTATCAAAACAATGAAGGAATTTAAGGTATTTAGTCAAAGGCTTTACACCAATTATCTTTGTTTCTTTAAAGAAAAAACACTTCATCTCGACTACCGGTAGGTAGGTTTGGGGCCAAAATCTCAAAAGATCATCTTAACATCAGGATTTGACATACAATGTAGCCTACACATACCGTTTACATTCATGAAAACAGTCAATTAGGTGTGTATTGTATGCATTTAAAACCAATTTCTTCAGATACATGCGTACACAGTCACACAAATCATAATGACCAAGTGTCTCTCAACAGATGCCAGAGCTCTTGCTAAATTTATTCAGTCTTGGACCTTATGTCTGACTCATATCCTGTGTCAGATATAGAATCAGTTTAATATCATCATCCTGATTCATCTGATTTACATGGATATGAAACAATTGTACGATGAAACCTGTCTTAGTGGCCACCTCTTTATAAAGACCACCTGTCTACAGTGGCCACTTTTTCTGTTTCCTTTGAGTCACCTTTATAGAGAGGTTTGACTACATGTTCCTCCTCGTACAGTCTTACTCATGGAACCCTTTACTGATGTTACCTGTACATTTGTATACAGGTTTTAGTATAGGACTTGTTGAAAGCCAGCAATACTGCAAAATTCAGTAGATACCATGGACTGTAGGTGGGACACATAAAGAGTCTGAGGTCAAAGGTCATTCCTTGTCATATTGATCATGTTCAAGTATCTTTAGTACAGGTAGTCTGTTCTTCTGAGAGTTTACAAGCTGTGCTGTACATTGTGGATGAACAGTGTAGTGTAATGTATACACATCGTTTGCATTCGAAGAATGTGCCAGTGTATTTGAATTGTTTGTGAACCCTCACAGTCAATGGAGGATGTATCAAACTCCATGGAAAACCCAAGGACACATGCTTCAAGTCTTTGTATTGACATTCTCATAATGAGAAGGAAAAAAAATCCCCTCGTAGAAAAGGGGACCATGAGCATATTTTGAAGCACAACCGTACAATGAGTAAAATATGTGAGTCTCTCTCAACAGTTGGCAATGTACCCATGAATTTGGTTCTGAAATCATTCAGTATCAAATGCATTAGACATAGTTCTTGTATTGTTACATGTTGGGATAGTAATATGGCACAGAAGAACAGATATGCACAGCTGCAAGTACATGCACATATATAGACGCTGTGCTCATGTTTGTTAACAGGAAGTGCCTGCAGTCTGGCTGTAAGTACTGTATGAACAGCATGAAGCGTGGCATGGCAGTGATCAACCCTGCTATGTAGTGGGGAGGAAAGGAAGGCTTACTACAATTGAGTACATGATGGTGGTTGGGAGGGAAAGGGGCGGGGCACATTAGACAACTCATAACTCATGATGGGGGGGGGGGGGGTATGTAATACAGACAATTCATATCTCATAATAGGGGGTGGGGTAGTTTGACTGTAGACAAATGTTTCATTATGAATGATGGGGAGGGGTTCTCTAACTTCTCTATACAATGATGGCAGTTGGGAGAGGAAAGGGGGGGGGGGGTATTACGGACAATTCATAACTTATAATGTGGGAGGGGATACTACAGACGATTCATATCTCATAATAGGGGGTAGGGTAGTGGTACAGTAGACAATGTTTCATGATGAATGATGGGGAGGGGTTCTATAGACCATATGTCATGGTGGTTTGGAGGGGGGGGGGGGAGGTACCATAGACAATTTATGATTGCAGGAGTAGGGGGGGGGGGTCTATAAACAGTGTTTCATGAATGGGAGGGATGGAAAGTTCATGCCACTGACAAAATATATTTTGCATTTGGCCTCCTTGAAATATGTGCTATTCTGTTTATTATTTAGTGACATTGAGGTTTAGTGGAATCCAGTAACACTAGTATCATAGTAGCATCCTTGGAGAGTTCTTGGCAGATGGTTATGAAATCATGGCAAACACCATAGGACCCAATTATTTCTAGGGCGTCAAATCCGAGGTACTCTCTCCTGCATCCTTTCCTTTTAATATGAGGATGTGGCTTGCTGAGGACCGTAAATGGCTCAGCAGAATTCCATACGGCTTGGCAGAAAAAGATGCAATGTGGTTCTTTCACTCATACCCTAGTAAACCCTTTTCATAATCCTCTCCGTCAAAATACAATTGAGGTAACATTCATTTGACATACATGTATGAAGGAATGGGAGGTGGGTTAGGGAAAAAATGTGTGCAGCAAGCCAGCAATGCTCCTACATATAGGTGCATTGAAATATCTGTGTGTCGTAATTCAAAGAAAAGTGAAGAGCACTGCGCTTAACTGCTTAGATCATTGTTTTATGCCATGGTAGGTTTTTTTGAGGCGGTTTGGTATGTCATACCGGTTTGTAAGCAAGGCTATAGAGATGTATTTTTGCTCTCTCGTAGAGCAGTTACTTTGATAATACTGTCATTTGAAAGTCATTAAAGTACATGTAATTTTGATTTTCTGAGTTTGTTTTGTTGTTCTGCCAAAGTATGAGATAGATCTAATTCTCCACCCAGTCCCTTAAAATAGAGTTGATTTTCTTAAAACTGTCATAATTTTGTGGGTTCCTGAAACGTAATACTTATATTTACATTCATCGACTATACTCTCTCCTTCATTATTATATTCACTAATATTCACATTATATGTATATTCTGATATTTATTTCCTTTCTGCTTTGTAATATATCATTACAGCTGATTGAAATTCAAATTTTCGTAATAACACCAATTAGTCTTTGTGAAGTGCCTCAATACTAACTATTTCATTTTGCATTTTGTATTCTGTTTATTTAAATACAATTATTCACTATAAGTGAATGAAATATCTGTATTTAGGCACTTCACAAAGATGTTTGCATTGAATATGGTTACATTATGAAAATGTTCTATTCATATAGAGTTCATATAACTCACATAATTTACATGATAGCATTTAACCATTCAATTGTGTTCGCATTTAACAGAAAAGGATTTTTTTCCACATTTTTTATTTTCTTACATTATTTCTAAACACATTTCAGTAGCAGGCTTCGCTATATGCACAATGCTAAAGATCTGATGAAAAATATACCAAAGCTTTGAAGCTCAACTAATCTGCTCATAATTTGAACTTTGCTAACTTATAAGTTGCTCCTTTACATACGGTACTCTTATTCATTGATAACAACAAAAAATTGTTTCAATCTCAAATAATATTTTATTCTTAAATGTACTCTTCATGTTCTGAGCTAAATAACAAAACAATTAGATATTGATTGATTTTGATGGAGAGTGTAAATTGAAGATCATCAAGACTAACTCTATGAACATATTGTTCTTGATGTCCAGGCATATACAGTACATGTAAGAATTGAAATGTATGATATTCTTGTTCAATTCCATTATTTTTTTCAGAGGGGAGGGGGGGGGGATAGGAAAAATTAAATAGTTATATTTTTGATCTAGCCCACTTATCAACCATCATTTTGCAATTTATGTCAATCTACCATCTAGATTTCAACTACTAATATGTCTATTTTGTCTGAAGCATTCTTTGTTTAGCAGTTCATGTCACAGACCAAGTGTTGATAACAAAAACAGGTCTTCTTTGCTTGTGAGGAACAAACACGTTGCCGAAGATCGTCTATAGATGATTCATATCATGATCCATGCCTGTCTGTACTCACTATCTTCTCTCGTCTTCCTCTCCCTTCTGATTGACTCGTCAAGTTGGCAACAGCTCAAGGGAAATCGGCTTAGATTCACAGGTGAGTGATACAGTCTTTCAATTACAAGGTCTATATTCTACTGAACCAATTAAACTCGATGCTGGTTTTGAGCTTGATTTAAGTCAAGGTCGACATGTCTAGTTTGTTCAATATTTTTGTAAAGTGCTTTGAGAGACATCATAGATGTACGTAGCACCTAATAAAGCAGAAATATTATTATAATTCTATAAGATCAATTTGTTAAAGTTGCTTTGTCAGACATGACTTAAATTTTGCGTAAACCCAGCATCCGGTTTAATTTTTAAGTAGTATAGACCTAGATTTTAAAGGTACAGGGGCCGTATTCTGGAATTTATATTATCTTTTAAGTTAGTGAAAGTATGTTAAATTAAATAAAGTCAAACCTGCTTTAGCCCCAACCTGTCTACAGAGACCACAAGTTATGGTTCTGTTGAAAACCTTTCTACCGGTAATTGAAACATGTTCTAAAGGAACCTGTACATAAAGACCACCTGCCTATAAAGACCAATTTTCTTGTCTCCCTTGGGTGGTCTTTACCGACGGGTTTCACTGTACATCTAAATTAGGGCAATTCATTGGTTAGAGTTATTCATCAGTTAAGAGGTCTAGACATTTGTGTATGCACCAGTAAAACACATTTGTGTATGCACCAGTAAAACACATTTATCCTTTTTATATCATTTGCGAGACCAAATTGATATATCTTTTACCAACAAACGATAACAAAGCTTTCAGGATATGGCCCCATATTTGTTCAGTTGGCATCAGCATTATGCCTTTTGTTGCTTTGTTTTATGTTGCTTGTGCCCTCCACTGTAATATATATATATATGTATCAGTCGTAACAAAAAGTGTCTCAGGTTAAGTCAATCTTGAATAAAAACACTTCTCAAGCAATGGAACAAGAAACTAGTTTGTTGTATACATGGTGTAGTTAAATAGGGGTTTAATTGAGGGGTCTCTTTGAAGATAAAAGATGAATTTGTGACCAGGTACAGGTGTGCCTATTGGTACTGAGGCAGTCAGTAATTGATTGCAGTGAGGAAGTGTCCTGTAGATGAGCTTCTGATCATGCCCATTGCCCAAGCTTAAATGTTTATTATACTTTATGATTCTTTAAGTTTAAACTAATTTTCTCTCTGTGTAGTCCATCTATGGAGTGAGATATTCCATACCTAGATTCGTAACACACCAAAATATCTCACGCCGTATAGACAGCAAATGAGATTCCAGTCGTGAGATTTGACTGGTAGACCAAAGAGAGATGTAGTCTGTAGAGTAAAGTGCGGCTTTGGATCTGCAATTTCAGCTGACGGGATCGAGATATCCTCATGCGTTTATTTGCCAGTGTGTAGAGAATGGAGTGATTTGACATATTGCCCAATTGTATCCCTTGGCAGTATGCCGGATGATACTTTGGATCCGGCAGCTGTAACGCCGCTGCATCATATTCTTGTGTGCGCTCTAACTGCCACATTCCTTTACGGATTTCTTTCAAATTTTGTATGGAGGTGTATCTTGATATACTCTACAAGCCTATAGATTTTGATGATCCTGCCTCCAGTGTTCCGTCTTTTATTGGGTCAAAGGTCATATTTTGATAGATGTCTTGTGTGCACTCTGCAGACCACATATATCTTAGGATATAATATGAACATTAAATATCTATTAATTTGAATACGTCATTTGAAGCCGCTTGTTTCTGCCACAAACCTGGAAATCCTCTAAATTGTATTACTGGTATTTACCAGTATAACTTTGTCAGTGGAACCGAAGTGTGTTGCAGCCATCCACACCAAAACCCACTATTGCCTTAAATATGAATACGGAATATGATTTTTGCTGGTGGGAGTCACTGGAAGGGTGTTGTAGCTACCCACCCACAAACCCACCATATGAATACTTGAATAGTTCATATTTGCCTACCGGTATTAGACTGAAGGGTTGGCCTCCTCCTTCCCCCACAGCCACACCCACAGTCCCACACACATCCTTTGTGTGAGAGAGAATGTAGGTCAATTCCATAAGGAGGGTGATGACTAATTGGAAGAGCTACTTTCACCTTTGACCTCTACTGTTGCTACCAAGAATCAAGTAGTGCTTTCAGAATTCTTCAGCTACCTTGGATGAAGAAGGAAAAAAAATGCTTCTAGGGTGGAGGAACGTCATACTTCATACAAGAGAAAATATGAACATGTACTCCAAGAAGTATTGCATTGCAACACTAATGGATGTGTACATTGATGTGAGAGAGAGAGATAGAGAGAGAGAGAGAGAGAGAGAGAGAGAAAGAGAGAGAGAGAGAGAGAGAGAGATAGAGGGAGGGGAGAGAGGGAGGGGAGAGAGTTAGAGAGAGGGAGAGAGATCAGAGACGAGATGGAGAGACAAAGAGCAAGAGAAAGAGAGAGAGAGAGAGAGAGAGAGAGAGAGAGACACAAAGGGATAATTATGACAACATGAAGATGTTTGGTAGATTTTCTCCTACAGAGGAATGCCTTGTAGATTTGGCAGTGTGCCAAACACCAAGAACATACACTCCTTTCCCAACCCAGTCTCCACTTTGAACTTTAACCCCAGTGCCAATGACCCCATTGCCACCCAAAGCATAGGCGTGCACTTGGAATGGCAGATTATCTTGATAGTACAACACAAAGAGCGCTACAAGGAGTATTCTCCGCAGACCCTAAGTATATTTGCTCTCTCAGTGATGTCCCTTGTCTCTTTTTTAGTGTGTCCTGAGAAAAGGCTGGAATTAAGTCTCGGAAAAGTAACATGCTGCATTGTTGTTGCTGCTGCTAAGAGCTGGATACATGAAGGAAAAACAAACATTAGTTGAGAGAATAAAGAGATGGTCATGAAATAGTTGGAAAATTGCCAGAATCATTGCATACAATGATTTTTGAAATCATTGTTTACCATTAATTGGTTTGATAATTTGATAGTGTTCTGAATGTCAAGAGCTTGACTGAAAGGGTTTATGTTCTTCAAATCTTCATGTAACATTTTATTTTTGTGTGTGGATATTTCTGCCTTTTCATTGGGCTTACCCTTGGCATTTAAAGCCAGCATAGCTTCTGAATACATTTAATTTGCAAACCTTAATTGCCCTTTGAGGGATATGAAAGTCAGTAATTCATCCCCGGCCTAAGAAATGTCATCTCTCTGCTTACGAACTGGATACTGTTTTGGTCATTTTTATCCCTCAGATTTCAGGGATGACTCATGTATTATGTAAAGATTTTTTTTTATTATTACTAGTAGTTTTTATTTAGTAATGATGGGTGTGAGATACTTTTCATTATTCTTTTACATAGTGTTTGAATGATCCTAACTTATTTGCATCAATATCAGAGGATACTCTGAAAAAGGAATTTCTACTCTGATTTTTAGATTTCTGATTTCTTTTTCGAAATCAAAACGGCTCTGTAAAAACGTTATAGTAAATTGAATATCTTCATTCCATCCCCCTATCTCAGTCTTCCACCTCCTGATTCTGAAATACTAGAAACTTCTTGCATAAGTAATACATTTTGCTGCAATTCACACAGTAAAATACTGGATTGAGGCCGTGTATCTCGTGTAGGACTCAAATATTGGTAGACTGTCTAAATATATTCACTAGCTTTGCAGCTGCAACTTTTATACCACGGGATGAAGGATGTTGTCAGTATGAAAGTACCGTCAAGCATTTGTCAAATTCTTCTTGAACATTCAAGTATCAGAGGAAGATCAATGTGAGGAATAGAGGAAGTAAGAGAGACATGTGATAATGATTGATACGTACAGATCAAAGGCGGGAGGGAAGGAAGGAATAAGAAAAAGGAAAGCCATTTTAGATGTAGAACAAGTTACGTGTAGAAAGTGGTAGCAATGTTCTCAAAATAGACCAATTTACTAGCATATCAAATAATATGCTTACTTTTTAAACAAAGGTTGTTCTTGACAATCTAAAAGCTTGCCATAACAAGTAATGTTTGCAGACTGGATTCCATGTATTGTAGTTCATTCATTAATAACGGGTTAGTGGAATAACCTGTCATTAGGTCCCCAGGAAAGAAACATCCATAAATTTGAATATGTTAGTAAACCGGTGTAGTGATAGAAAAGATGACAAAAATAGAAGTATGAATTTCTTACAGGCTAGGGACGAGGAGGCTGAAAGAAATACAAAAAGATTCGACCGACAGACCGATAGATGATGAGAGAGGGCAAGTGATGAAGAGGTCAAGCAAGAAAGGGAGAGAGAGAAATAGAATGACAGCTGTGTCAACTATCAAGATTACAGTCATAAGGCATGTCTTCATCAGCTCGAGTTTGCCAAATAACCCGCTATTTTAACTATCTCGATCTCAAATTATACAGCTAATTTCCGTTTTCATCAGCCAGCAGTTGCAATTAGCGGGATATTTGGTCGAGAAAATATCCCGAGAAATGTTGGTCTTGTTTCCAAAATATCCTGCTATATGGGAAATAACAGGCTAATTTGCGCCCGTCCAAGCTAGTTTGTGATGAGCGTATCGGTCTGGTGAAGACGCATTTTCGAGCTTTGGGATAATTTTCTGAGTCTGAAAATAGTGGGTTATTTGGCAAACTCGAGCTGATGAAGACAGGCCAACAGAGAACTTTATTCTGGCTTGCTAATGTTATGGGAAAGGACGAGATGACAGAAGCTGGAATTAACATCCTGACATAAGTAGTTTTCAGTTCATCCTTTCCTAGTCCCCATGACACTGACAAGGGCCTAGTACATGTATATGTAATTTGTGCATGTTTGAGGAAAATTCTCTCTTTCTCTGACTCTGTCTCTCCCTGCTCTTGTGGCAGACTGTCGGTAAAACTCAATATACGTAAATGTAGGAAGTGTACAGTTATTGTACTCGAACACTATCAAATCTGCTTAGTTTACTGACCAGTACAATATGTGATTTATCAGAGATATTTGGCACTATCAAATTCTACTGAATGAGGAGTCATGCACCTACATAAAGGTGAATTGCATTGATTGAGGGACAATGCACTACATTCTTTGGGGCTTGTTTCTTTGTCTGCAGCCAAGTTGTCTTTATTCTTTGTGTAAGCGTAGTAGTCCTCGCCCAATGAATGCAGTCAGAGAGAACAAAGAGACCCATAGACCGTGCGGCCTATTGAAGATGCTCCGTTGAGCTTACACATACTGCTATACTCTTGACACTTTAATATTGTGTGTTTAACTTTTAAGTCTATATGAGCCAATTAGACAACATAAGATCATCTATAACTACCAAGGGCATTAACACATGGAAGCTTATTTGTAATAAAGTATAAATCTACATGTAGGCAACGTCACATTAATGAGGAAGTACCTAGACAATATCTAATAAATAAACGTCAACAATTTCTAATCAGTTATACATACATTGGTACTTAAAATCCATAGTACAAAAGATTCCAATGAGATACACTTTAATAGATTAATCTATTTGACACAAGTTTATTGAAACATCTCATCAACAGCCATTTACAATTTTCTGAGCAAGCTCTTACAGGGTAATTTTGGAAACGGTTTATGGGTTTTTCAAGTCTAAAGTCACAAAAATGCTGTATCTTAATTGTCTTCCTGCGGTTACAATTCTTGTTGACCAGTCCATCAAAATGAGATTTTATTCTGCAAAGTAAACACAGACATGTAAAAGAAACTATGGACCTACATGAACCCGTTTTTGTAGGTTTATACTATTTCTTGTTTAGTAAAATATTTAAAGATGCATTCGTCAGATATGGCATGTTCTTTGCAATATTTTTTCCAGTTGGAATAGTACATCAGGAAATGGCATAAGCACAGCGCAAATACGTGTAGCTCGCTTGTAGGACATGCATTCATTTTCATATGTTTACAGGAAACATTGCTAGTGAGTATAAATCATGCTCAATGTATAAATCAGTGCTCAAGTATGGACTCTGCCTTTATAGGCATTGCAGTGAAAATGGAGCCGAAATAGCAATAGAGCTCTCTTTCATCAATCATTCACTTTGTGAGATCATTCAAAGTAACCATGGTTTATCCCCATTTGTATAATAAATGTCACTAAAGGGCAGACAAGATTTATGAATACTAAAGTATAGTCACATCAATGCAGCTCATAAAATGCATGCCTCGATCGTCCCTGGTCAAAGTATTTACATAAATAATGCCTGTACAACAGCACATGCACATGGAGATACTCTGTAGATTTAATTAAGGTACGTAAGTTGGACATATAATTGATGGAGGCCGGAGCAAGGGCAAGCAAATTTCATCAAAAGACAGATATTTTAACCTGTATAAATCTCTATCAAGTAGAACAATGTTTGATATGCTAGTACAGTAACTAATGTAATATCTAAACTTCTGGCATACAAATGTTGCAAGTTGTCCTCTGATATCTTAATTTTGTTCAGATTTCTCTTTGTGCTTCCCAATTAGCAAAACTTCATTCAAATCTTGATAGCGAAGCAGTCATCAAAGCCTGCATCTGCTCAAGACTGAATTCAAGCTTTCTTCATTAGTAAAACCAGTACGGCTCAAAGTGATAGTTACATGCTGGAGACTTAGTTATAGGTTGAGTAATACAACGTATAAATACCCAAAACAGATACAGTATTGTTTAGGCCTACATCTATTTCGAGCTTCACTAAAATATACCGTAATTGTTTCTGCTTTGAAATTAGTTAGAGATACTAAGATAAAAGGTTTGGTGCAAAGGCATGCAGCATACAATATACTTGTGGTAATTGAACATTGAGTTGTATCATTTTGTATGACACGTAGATCGATATGGGTTTTATTTTTCTTGCTGTACGTGTCTTAATTGCTTTCATGATATAACTCAATATTATCAAGCCATGGTATATTGTTGGAATACACCTCTGTGAGTCTAGTACCATTGAGCTAATATTAAGTAAAGTAATGGAGGAGCTACATGTACACCATATTCAAGGGAACTACATTTACCAAGTGGAGAAAGAACAGATGGAGAAATCCAATATGGCTGCCAGACTCTGAGATTAGCCCACTGGGCAGGGAGTGAGAAAATGCAACCTTGAGTACCAAGCTGTACAACAAGACATGTAAAACCACAACACACACTATAAAGTAGGGTGGGTCACTCCATGCAGTGCTTAGCTGTAAGCCAGCAGTGTGTGCATTGTGAGGAAACTCGATGCTGACTGTATGCGTAATAATGGAGGCCACTTTGCTTGCCTAGCCTGGCTTGTTCAGGGAATTCAAGATGAGTCATTGAATATGAATGCAGTGATTTCATCCCTAGCTCCTGGTCGCCATCTTGAATTGCTTGTTGTATACATACATGTACCTGCATGTTTGTCAGGAGATGATACATGTTTTAAAGTGTTATTATTTTTAACAAGGTTTTGACTGAAGTTATCAATATGACACAGTCGTCAATTGCTCTTGGAAAATTTTTTGTTTCACTTTTCAGTTTTCTGTACTTCATGAAGATTTGAACTGCAGGCCATTATACCAATATCTTTGCTTTGAGATTGAAAACTATAAATCCTTTCCCCTTTAAAGGGGTGTAGGACCTACAAGGTTAGATTCATAGTTGATTGATAATATGCAAATCGTAGTTTCTAGAATGTATTTGTTTTGAAATTCTACCCCTTGGCTAGTTGCAGAGGAATTATTGTTAATAAATATATTAATTCACATATTTGGCGTGAGAAGATCAAGCTCTATTTACATTTCTATCGTGCATCATGACTGATTTACAATCGACAAAAGTGCGATGTCACTCAAGCGTGGGAAAATCAGGAAATCTATATACCATACATATTGTATACAATGTACCAGTTTGTAATATTTATCTTGTCCTGTGTACTTTGTCAGCTCCATCTTAATTCCTGTCTGATTCATTGTACAGCAGTAGCGAGTGAACATTACATGGAGTGTATGTTCGGAGTTGAGGTCAAAGGTCAAGTGTACCTGCTGGTTGTGATAGTGGGCCGGCCTGCATGAGCAGGTTACCATGCAGTGTATGTTACAGTGCATGTGCACAGGTATTGGTTGCATGTGTGTATGACTATGAGAAATGACCTTTCATCATTTTGAACATACATGCGGTAGAAACATTACACATGAGGTACATTTACAGTACATTGCAGAAAAACCAATGTGGGAAAAACGTTGGTTTATTTCACTACCACTTACACTTGCATGATGGACCTTTAGTTTTCACACATCTCTGCAGTCAAACTTGTTCTTCGTCCTCTTTCATCCTTAGTCCTTCATCAATGGCCTTTCCTTGACCCATAAAGTGGGCGTCCTGCGTCTTGACCATACTACATGTAGTACATGCAGCCATACCCTGTAGGCTAAGATTAAAGGGATAGATTAGGTTTCCATAAGGCCTTGTACTACATGTAGTACCAGAAAGTCTAGAATGGATTGAAAGAGAGAACAGTGCATGGCATTTTTTCTGTTTCTGTGGTCTCCCTTGCCTATGAATCACATGTTTTTATTGTGTCTTAACTGTCTTGTCTTTGTGTTGATGCCCACAATGAAGAAGGGGATTATCATGGCACTTCCAGATAGAGTGTTATAATCACATTCTTTCTGAGAATATGCTGCAATATGTAAGGAGTTCAGGTTATTAATGCTACATGATGTGTTATATGTCAGCGATTATTAATATTACTCAGCCATTGAGGCATGTGAAACGACTGACATCATTAAATTGACCAGTCCTCGCATTTACAGGCACTTGTATTTACAGGCACTTGTACTTTGCTTTTTCTGTATGTGTAGTATTGTGTCAACCTACATGAGAGGCATGCATTTTCTTTATACCCTGGCTTTATAACCCGGCTTTATAACCCTAATACCAGTCTCTTGTGACCCATATGCACAAAGTACCTTTTTTTTTATTCATTTATATTTATGTTTTTATTTACTGCAACCAAAATAACAACATACACCAACAAAAAATCAAAGAACATCTTTGTTTTGTTACTTTGTATATTTATTAACGACAGCTATTTTCATGGCGAGGAAATTATGTCTTTAAATTGCAGAAAGCATAGTTGTAATTCATTTATTTCGCGGCAAGAAACTTGATCGGCACCAAAATCAAGAAAACATGTGAAATTGGACGAAAGTTATAAATGTACCAGATCTACTTTACTTCTATTTTTGCCTGCATTTGAAATGTTCTATCAGCTTTTGAAATTAATGTGCAAGTTCGTAAACATGTTCCTGCTTGTTACTAAGCTGTTTTGCCACAGCTCACAAGATTTCTATAAACATACCCTGTGAATTTGAAGGCCTACATGTAAATCATTATAAATTTGTATCATTAATGACAGTCACCTAAAAAGAATGTTGGATAGCTAGTGGACAAGATTGACAACACCTTTGATCAGCGTCAAACAGTGAATTATTGATTTAACTCGGGTCATACAAACAAAAGAGTTTGTAATGTCTTTTTAATTGTATGCCTGTCGGTTATCCATGTGTACATGTAGCAAGTCCATGTATCACTACAAAAACTAGTTCTGTATGAATAAACTTTCTTAAATGTTTACTCTGATTTTTGAAAATTAAAGCAATCATGCTCTCACTAAACCTGCAAAGGTACATGTAAGTTTATAAGAAAAGACTCTAGGTCTGAACTGTGTATGTTATGCCTATATGTGTGTTTAACTTCCTCAACATTCAATGTAATAAGATACAATATCCATTTCAGACATATGCATTGAGATTTTTTATTTTGCTGTATACTTTTCTTCAGTTTGAATAACACTTGAAACAAATTTGATTTATATCTTCCAGATGCTTTGACAGCATAATCAAATCATCCCAAAGCCAAACAGAGGAACAATGCTTATCACCTTGCCGAGGAGCCGGATACGTCAAGTGGACCACTCCTGCAAACCACAGAACAGAACTGTCTCCGGACCTTGTGCCTTCGACCAAGCCTCAAGAATACAAGGAATTCCACTGTCACAAAACTGCAGAAGGATTCCCCCATGAGAAGAAACTGCAGGAGAAGTCAACTGTCACTAAGGGCTGAGGAATTTCACCACAGAGGAAATACAGAGGGGTGATTCTGTATGATGTGCCCTATTCGACATCCATCTTTTTTCTATATACATGTACTTCATCTAAAAAGAAGAAGAAAGAAATCTTGATATGAGAAGAAAGAAAAATAGTCAGTGGTCGTATCGAGAGGTTTAAATATTTTGAATGAAAACAAATCAATAAATTTCATATGTCGTACAGGACATATTGCATGGAATCATCCAGATCGAGGGGATTGAGAGCAGATTGAACAACTGAGGTCGAGTCGAGAGATCCTTGGCCAGGGCAGGAGATGTCTGCAGAAGTCTGCAGGATGTCTGCAGGTCTTGAAGGAGTTTACTAGTTCCAGGAAGCAAGGCTGATTGTGGTTTGTGAAGAGAGGTGAAAATAAAATTGATTAGTGCAACTCCTAGGTTGATGCAACCATTTAGAATCAGAGAGATATTTGCTGTGCTGGATCACGGACATCATGTTGTAAGAAAACCTGGGGTAGTATTCTGAAATCGATGTTATCTTTTATGTTATATGAACGATGTTAGTTGTCACAACAAACCAAAATTAGGACAACTCATTGGTTAATGTCTGTGTAAAACTGGCTGCGTTTACGTAAATTTCAAAGAGACATCTGCGCAAGCACCAATGGTGTTGGTTTCGAGCAATTTTAGTCTGCCATGACGAGTAACATCGTTTTCACAATATGTCTGCAGATATTATTATAATGATCTATAACTGCCAGGGAGGGATTAGATTGGTCAATTGTTTTTTTCTTCTGGATTTCAAGCAAAAAGATTTCGAGAGGGAAGAAAAATATTTGATGAAGATATCATTATCAGTTCTTATGTAAGGAAATGAGATCAATTTAACTTTATTTTGATTATTTTTTCAGGTATTTTTGTCTATCTCTAGAATATTATTGTCTAGTTGAGGTGGTACCTTTGCAATCTTTAAAATAATTGTGTCTATAACGGGTCCTGTCATGAAACTTTTTTCTTCAACATTCTTTTTTTTAACTCTTCTCTATTTTGTTGGCATGCTGTAGGCTGTACCATTAAGTTCCTGAATGCAAATCCGGCTTTGACTGTCTCTTATTTTATTTTGCCCAACAGTCCTCAATTTACTTTTACTAGAAATAATAGTCTATACATCTATCTGCCTGTAATCGATGATCAACTTGTACATGTAGTTAACAATTGAATTATTCATGCCCCTTGTAAGTTTGATGTTTTGTGCTTTCTGTAACTCAAGAACGAAAGGTGAATAAGTTAAATACATTTAGATGTGAGCTTTAATATGCCACACTCTCAAGAAACATAAATACATTCTTCATATTATTACAAAACTTAGTAAGGGTATGAATAATTTAGTTGTTAGCTATATCAGTATGTGAAGATGAGTAATACACTGTTTTTTAAATGTTTTTATTTTTGCAGTTGGTGGGAATAGTTTATTGAAATAATTTTCTGTATCTGTATTTGGGCATTATATCCAAGATGTATTCACTCAGAGGGTTTCGCTTTATACTTCAGAGGTGGTGAGGGAAAGCTTCGCAATTGCCTTTCTCTTTCTCTTTCTCCCTTCTATTTTAAGAAAGAAACCAGCAATGACTCGCCCTGTAGTAACCTCCAGAGGTTCTCTGTGTATATTGACCAACTCATCCAGAGCTGGGCTTGAAGGGGAGAGTCAAGATCCTTCAAGATATAGCGATAATGCCTCAGTATTTGGCTTGCGTGTTGCTGCGTATTTATGGCAAGCCGTTTTAACATTTATTCCTATTTCTTGGTATCAAGAATTACCATTGCTTTACACTTGAAAATAATTTCTTGATATCAAGAAATAGGAATAAATGTTAAACGGCTTGCCATAAATACGCCGCAATACGCAAGCCAAATACACAAAGGTGTGACTGAGGCATAACTCATTAGAATATCGGTGAAAGTGACCTTCAAAGGTAAGGTAGAAAACCTCAGGAGGTTCTCTCTCCAGAGCAGGACTTGATGGGGAAGTCGAGATCCTGCATGATATAGCGATAACCCTTGTATCTGTATGATCATAATCCCTGTGAAAGTGACCTTCAAAAGTAAGGTAGGTTGACTGAATGTAGATACAATCTGTGCATTGGCAGATGAAGGTCATTTGAACTAAAATTGTAAAATCTACCTAGACAAACACCGTACCTGATGCGTGCTCATGAAAGTTGTGTAATCATTATCCATGTAATGCACTAACAGTACATTCTAAGGAACACAGATGGAGGTGTTCTTTTGAACCATGCCCTAATTAAGAACTGGTCTTTTGACCAACCCCACGCTAAAATGAAACCTGCTGTAGAGTATAAATCAATCCAAACTGCAATTCCTACAGGGTCACAGAAGGTTTATCACATGTCAGATACCACATTAGGTATGTCTTCATCAGCTCAAGATTGCCAAATAGCCCGCTATTTCTGATTCAGGAAATAGCCTGAAGTTACAAATCGTGTCTTCATCAGCTCGAGACTCGATCTCGAAACTCGAAACTCGACCTCAAGAAATTAGCTTGAGATATTTTGCTCAGCGTTTGCGCATAGTGCGAGTCTTCGGGCTGGTGTAGATGCACCGGATGAATAGCGTGATATTTTGCAAACTATAGCCCAAGATATCTTTGGATGATTATCTCTACCAAATATCCCGCTAATTGCAACTGCGGGCTGATGAGGACGCAAATTAGCTGGATAATTTGCGTTCTGGATTGTTAAAATGGCAGGTGATTTGGCAATCTCTAGCTGATGAAGACGGGCCTGTTGCAAACTCTAACCTTGAGGTTTGTTCACACATTTCATGGTCAAGAACAACAGCAGGTGTTTTGTGTACTAAATGAATAGCAAATGGAGATTTAAAAAAGTAGCTGTTACACAACAATGGTCCTAGGCATACTTGCGTATCTGTGTGTAATGAGATACATACCGGTATGCAAGGATTACCGTATGCGTAATACTCCCTAAGTAATTTCAGCCCTTGAGCCTACATTAATAATTTACTAAACGGTTTAATAAATGGTGCCCAAATTACTAGGTGGTCATATAAAGATCATATTCATCTTTAAGATTAAATAAATGGGGGAAAAACCAGACATAAGTCACACGGGACATGATTCTTGCATGAATCACCCAACTACAGAATAGAAGAGCAATGTGGTTACCTGGATAGTATAGAGTACCGAAGCTGTGACATCATAAAAATCTATTTTTGGAATTTCCCCAATTTTTTCTTCATTTTTCGAAAGAGCATCAATAATAATGTCTGAATGTCGAAAATCAATTGAGTATGTTAAGTATTGGCTGAGATAGGACCATCTGAATAAATAGATGTCCTATATAAGAACTCAGTGTTATATTGCTCTGGCTCGTAATGTTATGAACAAGAGCAATGTAACACTGAGTTCTTATAGGAAATCTATTTATTCAGATGGTCATATCTCAACTAATACTTAACATTTTCAATTGGTTTTCGACATTCAGACAGTATTATGGATGCTCTTTCGGAAAATGAAGAAAAAATTGAGAAATTCCAAAAATAGATTTTTGATGACGTCACACTTCACCACTCTATTATCCATGCATAAGGGAAGGCCACGATGAGATAAGGTAATATATATTTCCTTCTCGAGTACTCGGTGACGGTCATGAGATAGGCGCTATGAGGTATAGGTGAGACTTCCTGTGTCGTGATCCAGGTAGATCTGAAACATTGACTGGATCTCTGCTACATGTACATGTGATGGTCTAATATATAACCCAGCATTAAAGTCAACATGTTAGATTCATGCAAATCTTGTACATGTAGCTCGATAACCTATTGCTTAGCTAGTACCTGGAAAAAAAAAGCCCCAGTCAAATTTGTTATAACCCACCATGTTTATACTACCCAACATAAAAGTCTGTGTTAAGAATTTCAAGTAAATCATGTAGCCTGGTTTCCTATCCATTAGCTATTGCTTGGGAAAAAAAAGCCCCAGCCAAATTTGGTATAACCCAGTATGTTACTACCCAACAAAAAAAATCTGTGTTTAGGACTTCATGTAAATCATGTAGCCTGATTTCCTTTCCATTAGTTAGTACATGTACTTGGAAAGTCCCAGTCCAATTTGTTACAACCCTATATGTGACCTCCTTGCATAAAAGTGAACTGTGGGTAACAGATCTGTCGGAGGAAGTACAATTCCATATATGTTGACCTTTTTTTTTTAAAGAAAGGAAGAAAAAGAGGGGGGGGGGGTGGGAATACTGTTATCAAATACTTTGTAGCAATTACTCTAGCCCAAGAAGGTTTATATGTGCATTTAAGAAAAACATACACATTCTGATGAAGGTAACTAATTCATTTTGCTGACAGTGTATTGGTTTCCTGTCAATCTGAACAATAACAAGATCCTAATGGAAAATTAAAAAAAAGAAAAACAGGAGTAAAACTTTGGTAGTACACCTGTCTCTGGTTAAGTTTTGTGTAAAATGTATTTTGTTGTAGGTGGATGAGGCAAAGAATGTACTACACATTTCTTTGAGACATGGGAAAGATTTTACAAAATAGAGCAATAGATCCGTAATTATGCAGTTGTCGAAATGATAGTACTTTATTTTTCATCGCTATATTTTGTTGGTTGCTAAAGGAATTCTTTAGTCACATTTGTTTGTGCCAAATTCAGGGTAAAAATATCCTGATGTTTCTGTAGCAATACTGCCGTTATTGGCCAGTGAACGCAAGACTGTTGAATGGTTTATTGTTTTCTTTCTTATTTTTGTTGCATTTAGCACAAGATATGTGGTATTCACTGTCATGATGAATGCATGCCCGCCTCTGTTAGTTGATTATTACAAAGCTGTTCACCACAACAAAAAATTGATTTCTGTTATTAAACCTATGGGAAACACATGAAAATGAAACTCTCTCAATTGAGCTAATAAAGGGTGTGTTTTATTGCCCAGTACATCTTATCAAAATTGTTTTTCTATCTCTTGGAATAGTTTTTAACCTCTTTTTCTCTACCAATACAATTCATGTATTACTTTTTATGTTTATTTTCTTTAATGATAGATCACATATGTCGTTGAGTGGTACCTTATTTTGATACCTTTTTAAGATTGTACAGTTTAATTTCATTATCAGCCTCTATAGCCAATTAAGATCATGGATAAAATTCAAAGAATATAATTTAATTTATTAACAAGTCGTTTTGCTTGGGGTTCAGTTATGCACTTTAGGTATATGCTTGACAAAAACAATCAGGGAAACATGTTTATGTTTGTTGCTATAAATCATGACTACCATGATTAAATGGAAAACTCAAGGGCCCAAATTCACAAAGGAGGTTCTTCAAACAAACCTCCTTTGTGAATTCTGGCCATGAAGTTTGTACATAAGAAGTATCATCACTTGAGGAGCCAATTCAACTCTCATGCAAATGTACATGTTTATATGTAAATATCGAGATCCGAAGGGACAATTTTTTGTATTTCCTTTTGCAGCTCCAGTTGTATAGCTCTTTTTTTATTTTAATAAGGTAAATAACCTGTGCTAAAGTAATTCAAATTCTTGTCAATCTGTGTTTTAAGTTATTTCATGTCTACTATTATGTATCTATCCTATTGTGTATCTCTATTCCCCCCCCCTATCTTGTATGAAAGAAGGGTATAAAAAAGAGATCATATTGAAATGTGACTGAAGTATTTTTTATGCTTCTTATTTCTAAGAACATTCTCTTTTGCCATTCACTATGTATTCATGAGATACTGTAAAACTAAAAACTATTGCAGCAAAGAAAAGTTCTGGAATTCTCTTTGTCAGTTCCAAACTCTGCATCACAAGAGTGCCATGCAGTGTTTGCTTTCAAGAACTGTTGAGACGATCCCTGACTGTGCACAGTGCTCATTTACATACTGCTGCTGCCTCCGTCTCTCTCTCTCTCCGTTTCCCTGTCTCTGTGCTTGAATGCAGCACAAACTTGCATGGCACGACATGCTTGGCTTTGTGTATGCAACAACAGTGAGAATTATATATATTGTAGTGGTGCTGTATAACTTATTCCTTTTCTCTGCTTCTCTTTCTCTCCTTTTTGTCTCAGGTTTAATCCTATGGTAGAAAACCTTCTTGCAGTACTCTGTTCATATCATGTACATTTTGTAAAGATAACTGTTCCTCTGTGTTTAGATTTACCAAAACCTCCTGTGAATATGTACGATGATGTATAGTAGACGAACAGATGGAGAAACAGATACCAAGTAGAAGTATTATTTCTAGACACTTTTGTACAAAAAACATAAAACTGTAAAGAAAAAAAAAGATAAAGATTCATTCCATGTGTGTATTAAATGCAGAGACTAAAATATGAAAACATTTTGTTATGTTTTCCTCTGTTCATCTCAGTCATGTAATGTAGTTCTTGGCGGTAAAAATAAAATAAGTTGCAGTATTATCTGCAGTTACTATGTAACATGTGATGTTTTGACTCTTTTATTCTTTCATTCGTGTACCATGTTTTGTGTATTCATATATTTATTTTATCAACCTTGCTAATAAAATCCCAGAAAAAATAGTTTTTGTGTACACAGTTTTGATTATTATGCCCCTTGAAAAGGCTAGCCTGTTATTGGTAAACAAAGAGCACTCCCTTAAAGGTAAAGACCAGTTTTGGAAACACTCCCCTCTCAAAAAATGAAATGGAAGCTCTTATTACCAATCATGTGAAAGAATATGTTTCGACTAATATGTGATCATTCAAATTTTGCAGAGAAACCGCCTACTAATTGATATATTCGTTAAATTATTATATCTATTTGGACCTGATAGATATAACGCATGTGTTGCGCACGTGTGGGGGTAGTCCCATATATATCTTTCTGTGTACAGTGCTTGTAACTTTATCAAGACTAGCTGGGCCAAATTTCTTATCATTTTGATGATTCCAGAACCTTGCAGTACACACAAATACTTATATGCTAGATGATCAACCTTTTCTGATCGATTCCACAACATTTCTTTCACAATGCAATCGCATGACCATAACTGGTCTTTATCTTTAAACAAAAACGTGTACCTGTAAATGAATGGCAACTGATCTCAACAAAGGATTTGCGCGTATATTCACCAAGCTTTTGTTTATAAGATACTGAAATGTGAAACATCTTACACTTTAATTTGTCATTTGTCATATCTGAACGAGCCTTAAGCCCCACTGCACTACTTATAGCTACTTGCGCCCTCTATATAGCAAACAATGCCTAATCGTTGCCTGTTGGTCCCCCATGATCCTCTTCTCTTATGTTAATTAAGAGCTGATTTGATGAGATAACCACCTGTCAGTGACCTTGCAGGGAGGTCTAATCCCCCTGGCCAAACTAGTCTAATTCATCAGACCAAGCTCCTGAAATATGATGATGATTCACAGCCTTTGTATGGCGCCATATATATGTTTCAAACTAACAGAAGAGTCTTTTTGTTTCCTTGAATGAATCGTACATTGTTGTGGGGGGGGGGGATTTATATGTATTTCCTTTATATGAAAGACTGATAAGATCCTTCTCCTTGTTCAGTCTAAAATAATTGTTTATTTAATGGCTGCATCTCTGCATGTTGTGGTCTTTACCACAACTTTCTAATGTCCTCTCAACTAAATTGAGATTCTACTTCATTTGTTCTGTAATACATTTCCTCTTGAAATCCCAGCACACATTGTTAAGAATCTACAGTTTTGTGCAATTCAGACATTGATACATGTATTTATATGACATGTAGGTTGTGGTATTACAGAAAGAAGTCTGGCTTATTCCATTGACACTCAATATTAGCAACAGACCGCACAAGTAAAAACTGCAAACTCTCTTTGCACATGCCCATAATGTGTTTCCTGTATTAAACATGAATGGCATATACATATACTGCCGATAATAGTTCATGTTTGCAAAGGAAACAAACGGATGTGTTTGTTAGTTTCTGTGGTAAATTGGGCTTGTGGCTGAAAAATACTTGTATACGTGAGTGGCGGAAAGGTTCTTATTTGTTCCGAGTGCCATTTAAAAAAAGATGAAAAGCCTAAATACAGGTAATTTAAATCTCAATTGTCTTCCACTTAAATTGTCTGATTTCAGCTTTCTGTTCATTCTTGCGACATTTACCGTGACAAAAAATCTATAGTACGTTCTTAAGAGATTAAGAGGTAAACATTTAATGCTCAATAAATGAGAGGACTCAATGCATTAAGGATTCCAATCTTTGCTATTGCTTTGTGCATACCAGCTGACATCTTTGGAACAGAATATCATACTTTTCAGGAACCCATAGACCTGTATTCTTACTAAAATTTAACCCTGATGCTGGGGTTTAAGTCTAAGGTCCTTTTGTTAAACATGACCCAGATTTAACTAAATAAGCAGAATACAGACCGAACTGGCCAGCACAATCAAACGAACATACATGACAAGAACTCCTAACAAAACTGCTTGTAGGGGTCAACAGCAAAAAAAACAAAAGAAAGACATGACAGAAAATATAAATTTGAAATATATAGTTTATTGAAAACAAGTTTAATTTCATCACAAATGTACAGTAATTGCGAAGAAAGCAACATTCCCTCGCATGAAAAAAAAAAAAAATCACCAAACAATGTTACCCAAGAAATCATTGTCACAAAATTGAGGCAAGACAGAGATAAGTTAGTGACAAAGGAGGAAAAAGAAAGAAAAAATAGTGATAAGACACTAGCAAAGATGATTGTTTATGTTGACTACGATACAGCTGCACAATGAAACAGAATGAAGTGCAACACGATATCACTTTAACACTACAAGTACCAGTGATATCTTGAACAATTTCCACTTCACTACGAGAATCCTTTTTTTAATGATTTCTAAAACTAAGAACTTTAATCAAGGTAATCAATGAAGTTGACTTTTTCTGGTTACAACTATACAATAAGAAAACATTATCAAGCATACCAGTTGTGATACAAGAATATAACACTGAATGTGTGCTTTCTCTACAAAATAAGTGTTCTAACGTTAACTAATACGTGGCTGAGTTCTACCGTACAGGTGTGAGCAAGAAATAACTTTTTTTTCTCACATGTTAGACTTTTCCGTAACACTGTGGATTACTTTGCGCAATAAGAGGCAGATATATGCTACCGAGTGCTAAATTATTTTTAGGTTGCCAAGTTTAATTCTAGGTCCACTGGCTCTGTACTGTACTAAACACAACCAAACTTTTTCTTTGGATGTACGGCACGTGCTCCTGCAACGAATGCTTCACAGTAATTTCCTTCACCAACCAAATTCCTAACGTCAACACTGGCCCAACCACTATACTATACCATACCCTAATCCTAATCTTAATCCTAATCCCGACATAAAACCCAGCTACAATCCTTACTCTTCCCATACACCTTTGACATAGATGTAACAAAGCCTGGAGCAATTGTCACCGGAGCAAATGCTGCATCATCCGTGAGGCCAAGTGGACTAAAAATGAAGTCAGCAACCTGTGAATAGTACCGCCTCCTGCTCTACACGATTGCTACACAATTGCTACACGAGCATACCATGCACTACAAAATGATGTAGTCTGCATACGGTCGGCTTACTGCAACAAAAAAACACTACCACCATGTGTTGTCAATGGCTATAGAGTACCTAAGCTGTGACATCATACAAATCTATTTTTAGAATTTCTCAATTTTTGTCTTCCGAATGTTATGAACCAGAGCACTATAACACTGTGTTCCCATAGGATGTCTATTTATTCAGATGGTCATATCTCAGCCAATGCTTAACACATTCAATTTGGTTTTCAACATTCAGACATTATTTTTAATGCTCTTTTGGAAAATAAAGAAAAAATTGAGAGATTTTTAAAATAGATTTTGATGACGTCACACTTCACCATTCTATAACGCCCTTTTAGGTGCGAGATGACGATGCATCAACAATGTACAGTCTTCAATACATGTATCAGGACTACATGTGACATCAACTAAATGCAACTGGCGAGTTTACAAGTATAAATAATGAAATGGCATGCTCGTAAACTACTGGTTAACAGGGCCCTCTTTTCATAAGACTTGTTATCATGGACAAGTGACACATTTCTGTAACAGATATGCTCTCAGCCAATCAAATGCAAGGATTTCAGTAGCTTATAACAGTTACTGCCATTTTTTATTGATAACAAGTTTTATGAAACATGGCCCTTTTTCATCTTCATTATTTATCTGACACTTTCCATATTGGATAGATCAGTCGTTTTGTGAGTTTGACATTGGTAATTAAAAAGAACAAAACACCACATGCATTTGATTGAAAAAATAATGTAAAGCATTGCTTGTCTACATGTATATACACAGTATAGGCACCTGTTATATATGATTTGATATTTCAGCTCTTTTGATACATTTGTATATGAACATATTTACAGAGTTTTTACAAGATGGTGTTCATTACACATCAAAAGAAATGAGACGTTTGTTTCTTCTTTGCTACATGAATAATCATGCCATTCCAAAAGACATTATTAAAACAGCTAAGGAAATCTTTTATTAGATTTCTAAGCTTTTTTGTGTTTCTCTCCATAATTTTGTAGAAAATACCATTGGTGTTGCAGAAAGCGCTGTGATGAATTAACCGCTCCATCAGCATTTCTAATACTTTTTTAGAAGGTAGTGGCACGGTCAATATTCTCATCGGCAAAGTCGTCAAAATGACCTAATAATAGCGGGTTTTTTATAGCGCTTAAACCTGTCGGACTTGACACTCCTGGCACTCCACAATCATTACCCTGGCTTTAGCATGACTGCCATTAAGGTGTTCTAGCATTTAAAGGAATGAATTCCTACCAGGTACCCATTAACATCATCTGGGTCGAGTGTGGCAAATGTAGATCAATGTCTTGCCAAAGGACATTAGTGCCGCGGCGGGAATTGAACCGCGAACAGTCCGGCGAACGTATCCACTCGACCCCTACACCTCTACATAGTGTGATTAGAGCCAGAAGGGCATTAACTCTTTGTCAAAGTATGTCCCTTCTGACTCCAAGCATTTGATATGATGTATGTATTGGTTTCACTTTGCCTGTTACTGTAATGCATGAAACAAAATTTAAAGTCTGAATTTGAGTAACTACATAGTACATCTTTATCATTCTGAAGGGAGCAGAAATGAAAATATTTACAATGCAATATTGATACTCATGTACAGTATCTTGCATGCAAATTGACAGTTTATATTTTCCTCCAAAAGACACACACGTTTCCCCAAAGTTTCATTTATGCAAGGACTTTACAACTTTTCTTGTATGTACAATACAAACTAGTATAGCTACAAATCAATAATTGCACTTGTGAAAAAGTATTAAGTTTTTATCATAAATAAATTATGATAAAAATAATTTCTCTATACTTATTTCATTCAAAGTATATGTACAATGTCAACTTCACTATCACTTACAATAGACTTGAGTTTTCTTTCTTGTGAACTACATGTAGCTTTTCTGCGTTTTTTAGCACTTCAAGATTTCCATACACATCCATCTCATTCTTACTATTGCAAGACAGTCCCCAAACAAACATTCCCTTGATAGGTTCCAGAGCCAGCTTGCTAGGGCCCGGGAAGCACTGGTATCTCTAGATGCTCTTTGGTGCAATCTGAGTCATTATTCGGAGCAATTTTAATCAAAAATGTTGACCAATAGTTCAGAAATAATTATGGTTGAGTAAGAATTTTGAACTGTCCATGATTTTCAAACCTGTCTTTTCAAAATTCAAACTTGTAGCTGTTACATGCTATTGAATACTCAGTTGTACAATCAAACCTGCTTAGTGACCACCTGTCTACAAAGACCATATTTTTCTTTCCCTCGAAAATGGTTTCTCATTGAAACATGTTCTAAAGGAATCTGTCTACGAAGACCACTTTTTGTGTTTCCCTTGGGTGGTCGCTATAGACAGGTTTGACTGTATCTATGAGTAAACCAACTTCTATAAAGTTGTCAAAATCTTCCTAAAAACTCCGGGACAAATCTTCGTAATGAAACAAAGGTACATAGGAACATGTACATCTCATTTCCTTCAACTTCTCCCTAATGTTGTCGACGGTGCCTTCCAATACAGCACTAGCATGGGCCAGTGCTGCATGATGATAACGGCGCTTGCTCTACGAAATATCTCACAAAAGTTTCTTACGAGTAGGTCCTTTCTATACAGCACTAGCATGGGCCAGTGCTGCATGATAAGTAACAGCGCTTGCTCTACAAAATATCTCACAAAGTGTTCTTACGAGCAGGTCCTCCCTCCTCGAGCACCGAAGCTCTCTATTTCATCCCCATCTTTCACGTCTTCTCGGGTGAATGTCCTACATCCGCCGGGGCGTGATCTTCCCCCTCCTCCTCGTCATCTTCATCCATGTCATCTGACTTGTCTTCCCCTTCCTCCTCTGAGCTGGTAGAGACCGCATCCTCCTGGGACTGGGGGAAGTGTTCCTCTATATTCTCCTCCTTGATCCCCGTCAGAGGCAGCATGCGATTGAATATATTGACCTGGAGGGTTGTGGTGTGGGTGTGGGGGTACAAATAATATATCAATTTTATCATGAAACTTCCCAATTCATAAAAACATTTTAACATCATGTCTTTAGTCTAAAGTCTTTTTTCTTCACCTGATCAGAGACTATACACTGATCCGTGAGTGTCAACCAATGAGATCTTTGATCTTTGACCTGTGATCTAAAAAAAACCTACTCTCATCTTATCTTTAATTAAGTCTTTTTTCTTTACCTGATCAGAGACTATACACTGATCCATAAGTGTCAACCCAAGGGTCATCCCGCCGATGAGATCTTTGACCTTTGACCTGCTAATCTTAAAAAAATCTACTGTCTGATAAGCTTTAGCATCATCTCTTTGGTAAAGTCTTTTTTCTTCACCTGGTCAGAGACTATAGACTGATCCATGAGGGTCAATCTAAGGGTCATCCTGTCGATAAGATCTTTGACCTTTGACTTGCTGATCTTAAAGAAAACCTTCAACAACATCATGTCTTCAGTAAAGTCTTTTTTCTTTACCTAGTCAGAGACAATAAACTGATCCATGAATGTCAACACGAGGGTCATTCTGCCGATGAGATCTTTGACCGTTGACCTGCTGGTCTAAAAAACCCTACCCTCTGATAAGCTTTAACATCATCATATCTTTAGTAAAGTCTTTTTTTGTTTACCTGGTCGGAGACTATAGACTGATCCATGAGTGTCAACCGAAGGGTCATCCTGCCGATAAGATCTTTGACCTTTGACCTGATGATCTTAAAAAAACCTTAAACAACATCATACCTCTTTTTTATTTACCTGGTCAGAGACTATTGACTGATCCATGAGGGTCAACCTGAGGGTCATCCTGCCGATGAGATCTTTGACCTGCGACCTGCTGATGTTGGAGACCTTCTCCCTGATGTTTTTGACAAACACGTTGAGTTTGTTGTTCAGTGACTGGAGGGATTCCTTCTCAGACTTGTCCAGGCGCTCGTTCCCGATGGCCAGGTCCAGGATCTGGATCCTGCTGTGGAGCTTGTAGTAGTCTGTGTCTTTAGAAGGTCTGGTGGCAGGGACTACGTCCAGAATGTATTGCACCTACGATCAAATGGGATAGCACTTAGGCTTAGTCTTGCAGGCTTTGTCTCTATTAAGATAGGCACTAAATCAAGGACACATATTGAAATCTATCTTGATAGAATCAAATAACACTTAAATTATGCCACTTGCTGAAATTCAATAACTTTGTGACACACTGACCCAGTGAAAACAAAACTAGAGTGATATGTGCCTACCATAAAGATAAACTTCAGAAGGATATTAAAGGGAATGTTTAACATTAAAAAAAAGTGTCCAACCATTAAAATATAAAAACTGACATAATCTCAAACACCACCAAGACAGTTCTACTATCATTCCGCCCTCATATGTAATACCGTAAATCTCTGTGTATAAGACACACTTTTTCCGCCGGTTAAATTCAAAAGTCGGGGGTCCGTCTTATACACAGGTACAGGATATTTTGAGTACTCAAAATGCTACTTTTTAGTGGTTTTTGAAAATATCTATGTCTCAACATAAATAAAATAATGCGAATAAACAAAAGGATCTATTATTTGAAGCTACCCTACGTTCCTTATTTGAAGGGGAGGGAGTTTTTTTGTTTGTGTCTTATACACAGAGATTTACGGCACTTTCTTCTTGAATCAAGCGTTCTTCGACAGATTGATAGAGTAATTCATACCTTGAGTTCAGGGTGGAATCCATTGTTATTCTGCTCTGGTTCAGTAGGTGAAAGCTTCTTCAAACACATGTACCTGTAAATATTAGAAGAAAATTCATATCATACCCTATGATTCTAGTCTTGGGTGGCCCTATCTTACCGTAAAACTTAAAATATTGCACGTAAATACCACTGACGGCACATCCTGAACACAATTCTGAATTTATACAGTGCTAATTTTTATCATTTGGACCTGCATATTTCAATCATATAAAAAAATTGTCATAAATTCAATAGTTTTATATAAAAGGCATCAGAATACATAATGTATGTAGAAGATACAATACACGGGATCCATCATTAGTCCTGGTTTCTAACTCTAATCAGTAATTAAAAATATACATCAAATTCACTCGAGAAGTTAATTGTAAGTTACTATGCATTGTAAATTTACGATTGATTGAAGAAGAGCTGACTAACTTTGGGAAGATACAATTTTTTTTTTTTTAATTGTGTGACTGAATCACAATTAAATTTATAATGCAACATGATTATACAACCAATAACACGATAATAATGATGGGAAGATACAATTAATTGTAACTTTTTATATCACAGGTTCCAGAAGGGAAGGCAGAGTAACTTACGCTAGCTGTCTTGACATGTATCTCCCTCTCTCAGTACAGCCAGGTATGAGATGTGTGATGTATACTAGGTTGTGATGGTGAGCAGCAACATGAGGTAAGACATGGCACAGACGTTCAGCCTGTAACGAAGACAATACATCACGCCGTAATGGTAATGTAAAGCATTTAAAAAGCATGCATCAATAAATATACCTTCTACACAGAAAGGATATTTCACAAATTTAAACATTAGGAAAAAAATGCTTCTGATTTATTCTCCCCCCCCCCCCCCTCCATTACAAAACCCCCCAAAACAATAGTTTTACCTTCTATGAAGAAATGATTTATCTCAGTAAAATACAAAGGAATGTACCTACAAGATTTGTGCTCCAGGTGATAAACAATTAGGCTCGTTATCATACCTGTCACCTCCAAGTCCACCCTCTCCCCCAAATTGAATGAATACATTTTTTTACATATATAAATAAGACTATAGAGATATCCTAAAGCTTCTTGTCTTGCACTTTTAGGAGTGAGATAAAAGTTCTTGTACGTCTATTGTTGTTGCTATTTTAAATAAGACCGTCTAAAGCTAGAACTTTTAAACTAATTATATTACCTAAGAAGTGAGAGGACTGGTTTGAGATGCATAGCTGCCAACATTTCGAATTTTCAATTAGTAACATTTAAGTAAAACTGAATATCATGTGTGCACAAAGCGCACATCATGTCTGACCTGCCAACCTCTGGAGTTCAAAAACTGGATTCTTTAATCCCATAAGTTGTATTTTACTGACAAAAATTGTATAATTTTTTTTTAAAAAAACACAGATCAATGCCTCTTCCAGTTCCTACATACAGGAAGATTTTTTTTATGGATCATTGGTTAAATATGGATGATTTCGTTACGACTGGTGTGTTCGATGAACATCCCTAAATTTCTAATGTGAGATGCTTGTAGGATACTTTACAGAACAGAATGGGCATTTTGCCGTTGAAAATGTTTCACACAAAATTGAAAAAAAATATTAATTTTTTTTTATTTTATTTTTTTTAATTCATAACAATAGAAGGGTATTTGTAATTTTGTAAGGAGGGTGGGAAATTCGTAACAATTACAATTTTTTTGTTGTAACAGTTGGCAGCTATAGAGACATTGCCTCACCTATACCATTCAATTAACATATATTCTCCTAGTGTTACAAAACAAACATACTAAACATTTTAAATACTAAATAATTAATGAAAGAAGCAAAACCTAACACATTATCTCGCTAAACATGTGTTACGATCGACAGATATAAAACTTTTTTTTTGAAAGAGAAGAAAAAATATAGGAATAGAGCATACCTGCCAACATTTGAAAATAAGAATTAAGAATTTCAAGCAGGGTATGCCGGCCTTACAAATTCGCTGCTCAATCGTGCAGCCAGTCAACGCACGCGATACACAAACTCTCAAATCGCGGCATATGATAAACAAACTGAATTTAGCTTTTAAAAAATTTTAAATGAAATTTCAGAATTTTGACAAATCTGAATATTCCGGCTAATTTGGAAGGGTTGGCAGGTATGATAGAGTAGCCCTACATATAAATGGCATAGTAACTTGAGTGCTAAACTGTTAAACTCACCTGAGCCTCCCATGAAGGTTCAGGTACACATTCAAACAGGGCTAGCAGACATAGAGTGAAATCATTCTCTACAGCCTTCCTGCAAAGAGAACAAAGAAAGGAGTCTGTATTAGATCAGTCTCGAACATTCATAATGCAGGCACATGTTGAACTTTGTGCACATCGTTGTGCATTGACAGGAAATGTAGAGAATAGTGACATTATTATCACCCTCCATGTTCATCAGGCTTCATCCGTGCCTGAGTGGAGATAAGTTCACTGTACCGTATTCAAAATAAGAGCTTCAAAATTCACTTCTACAATTAGTTGTATAGCAGTGTAAATACACTCTCAATATACATAAGAACTTGTTTTGTAGACTAATGGGCACACACGTAGTAGCTCGCATAGAATAGGGCCCACGCAGAACCCAAGTTGAAGTTTGGTTCCAAGCCGGGGGAATTGATGTTATTGTTTATTTTCTTCATACTCCTTAACAGTTAACCTGCAGAATGCAAGGTATTGTTTTAAAGGTTGATTTTAAATATTCTACCTGTAGTATTATACACACATTATTTTTTTCAGGTGATTGGTAAACTTCATCTTCATCTTAATACAATATTTTATGAAGGGAGAGTCGGATAATAGTTGTGCTCTTACATGATGAAGTATTTCTCGAGAGATGCCTTGCAAACGAGAACGGCTAGGCAGGAAACCTCTTCTTCCGTATAAGGAAACCTATAGTAATCAAAAGATAACAGTGGTGTATGAGAACACAAGTCATGGTTATCAGCAATCTCTAAAATGGGTATCTAACATCCACAGTGCATGTAAAAACAATTTTTTTTCCTTCACATTTAGATGTCTACATTTCAACTAAGGCATATTGTAGGAAAAATCAAATAAATATTTGTTTGTCTGTTTGTTGAAGGTGGCTTTCCACAAGATAATGAATTTCTGACGACTGTAAAAGTTATCAATCTACATTTGCCACTCTCCACCCAGGTGAAGTAAATTGGGTACCCGGTAAGAAGTGATTTCTTGAATACTTCAGTGCCTTATCGTGGGGGCTCAGCTAAATCCAGGGTAATAATATAATACTTTGCATTAAGCGCAGTAGAGTATATTTGCATAGTAGCATCAATATATGGTGGTGGTGGTTATTTTACCTGACTGTTAAGAAAGCATAAATGCTTGTTAGTAAGCAACCAGAGGACCGATGGCTTTAGGTCCTCCCTGAGAGACCTGGTATGAGGATTAATGCCTTACCAAAGGGCACTAGCGCATCACCTTGGTTTCGAACCCGGGTCGCCGGATTACAAGACCCCCGCTCTACCGACTGAGCTATCGCGCCTGGTCATATTATTATGATTATTAGTTCCTTGGAGAATAGTTTTACCTGTCAACGGTTTTCCTGGTGATGAGGGCCAGAGTCAAGATCTTGATGACCTTCATAAGGTTGTTACCATGGTAACGTGCCTTCACCGGATCTGTAAGATCAGCTGCAGAGGGTTGAACTCTCTCCTTTTGTTGGCCGGACTTGTCTTCTCCCATTGGTGGTCTGTCAAATAGTCAAATATCAAAAAGTCAAAATTTAAAAAAAATCACCAAAAAAATATGGAGAATGTCTACAGTGTACCAAATGGATTCACAATCTCATTAGGATTGATTAAAGTATGTGCAACTACCTTGATAGAATAATTCCTCTAGATGTATACTCTAGCTATGCAACAATATTGAAAACACTTTATCATTATTTCAACAACAAAAATCAATATTACTGCTCATTTGCATATTTATTAACTGTCATATTCACATCAGTATGTATACCATTACTTCAAATAAGGTCCTTAAATGATCTGGAAATATACATGTATGATACTTGCATCGTATGGCCCCCCTTTTTTTTTGGGGGGGGGGGGGGTTTGAACCGCCCTTTTTCTATTCCCAAAGTGCCTTAATAATGCTGAGAATAGACAGCCTTTACGTTGAATTCAACATTACAGAATTGTTAGATCAATCCATGCAACTATGAAAATGTCTTGGTACTTCGAGTTAATGTGGAGACACTTGTTCCTCTAAAGTGAGCTTCAATTAGTGGCGAAATAAGGATTCCAATTCAGCCGATGATTTCAATAACTCAATACTACCATTTGAATTAAATCGCATAGATGTGGGCAAATCAATATCAACAATTCATCATGATAAAAGTTAATTAAAGTGAAATTTCAAAGGATGGTATTATTGAGTTTAGTTTTGTTAGTAATCCTCCTTAAAAATGAAATAAGATTGGTAAGAGCGGAAATGATGCTTAAATACCTGATGGAATTTTCATCAAATTCTGGATTTACAAGGCCAGGTGGTAGCAGGTCATTGAATGATGCACCTATAGAAAATCACAGGAATTAAAAAAATTGAAAATGATTGGTACATTTGAATACAATGACATGCATTGAACAAGCAGAAATGTCTACATTTGTGGGAACATTTATGTCAACGATACAAAACTTAGTCTGTCATACCAATCAGAAAACAACATCTAAATTAGTGTCATGATAATAACAATGACAGATGATTTTATACACACAGGTAGAAATATGAACATATTTTTAAACTTCTCAATAAAAGTGAAATGCAGCAGGACAAAATAAAAAATGAAAAGATGATCAAATATGATGCCATGAACACTAATTATGATAGCAAAGGAAGTTGGAATTTAAAAAAAGACAAATTATGAACTAATTTCAATTTTTCATGAAAAAAACGAGTCAAATAATGAACTAATAGAAAACGATAAATATGCAGAACATAAACAGATCAGAAATTAGAAGAGTGTAAAGGAAAAAAATAAAAACTTACCATAGTTGACTAGAATCTGAGTGATTTCAGCCACAGATGGCGCCCAAGGCACGACAGCAGGATGCTGTATTGGCCATGAGTTGAGAATGGACCACATGGTCTGGTAAGCCTTGTTCACTACATTACAATCTGTGTGCACAGACACTGGAATACAAGATTAAAAGAGAGAGAGAGAGGAAAAATTAGTGTTTTATAAGTGTACTGTATGCCAACCATTGCAATCTGTATGGAAAGACACTGAACTGCAAGATTTAAAAAAAAGGGCATGTGGATGACGAGCGGATATGACGTTACCACTCCGGTACTCTATAACTATGCACAGATACCGAGATAGATGATTCATCAAGTGGTCCCTAAACAATAACATGTATTCATGATAATAAGAGAAGTCGGTCATAAACAGTTTGATCTGTTTACATTCTCAATTACCTACATGTCTGAATAAATATCTTTCCTTTTCATTTCCCATTCTAATTGTTTTCTCCCTTCGAATCCCTTTTCTACTTAAGCCCCACATCTCTGTATATTATTCAAAACCATTCTTGTACAATTCAAGTGAAGAGGAATATCATTTCTTCTACTTCTTCTTCTGATGATGATGATGATTAAGTCTGCCTCCTTCAATTGACTGAAGATTCTTGCAAACTATGTGTGTGTGTGAGTTAACTGCAATTTAAGTCCATTCGAGCGCTATTTACATTTTATACAGTTTATTTACAAATATTGTACTTACTGAGTCTGAAGAGCCAAAGCATGAAGGCAGGCGGACAAGGCTTGGAATGATATGCCATCTCTACAGCAAAGGTTCTCAACATTTCAACCATTTCATCTGAAAAACAAACAAAAACAAAAGTAAATTTTTAATCAGAAGAATGGATCTCATTAATATTAATAATAATAATAATAACGGTGCTTATAAAGCGGTTACCACTGAAGTCTCTAAGCGCTACATCCAAAGGTACAGAATTTAATATATTTGAGATACTCAGCAAACGATTCAAGGATAGAGCTTTGTTTTGTGAGGGTGATGTACTGGTATACTAATGAATACTTAAGACTAAATGAAATAAATCTCCCTCTCTTATATAAGAATAAGGAGTTTTGGCATGGGTCATAATGATTCATCAACCTTCAAATATTTTCTGCAGTTTAATAATTAAAACAGAAATTTTGTAGATTGACTGTTTATAGAGGAAACACAGAATTGTACAAAATTGATAATAAAAATGTATATTGAATGATTACTATTCAAAACAAAAAGAGGTATAGCATTTCTACATATAAAATAATATGAGAAATCATAGAAACTTTTCAGATTTAACCGTAGCTATATCACCTATTTTGGATCAAAATAATGTAGGCCTGAACTGGGCCCTGTCTTAAAAAGAGTTACGATTGATCCAATCAATTGCAAGTTTGTAGTCCCCTATCTCTTATGTACATAGTTGCGATTGATATCAACTCTTTGGTCTCAATATTTATAGGGAAAAGGACAGAAGGATATACCTTACCTGGTGTTGCTTTCAGCATAAGACTTTCCAGTGCACTGGGTTTATCAGGCTTGAACCCACAACCTGCCAATGAGGCCATGTGGTCATTGTAGTTGAAGATCTATTCATAAGCAGAATATAATGTATAATGTATTGAGTTTTATGAAAGCTAGATGTGATGTCTCCAGGATTCTTATCATACAAAATACAGAGCTGCCACCCCAACTGAACAAAAATCCTATTGTTCCCCCCCCCCCAAAAAAAAAAAATTAAATTAAAAAATCCTATTTTTGATTGATAAGTAATTTCTTTTTGTTAGACTGTGTTCGTTTGACATGTTGAAGAATTATGCATGAGTACATTTTACAAACATTTTGTTGAAGATGCAAGAGTTTGTCATGAATTATCGTTCAATGATCAAGTGAGAGAAGCATGTACATATATTTGTTATGGACCATTGGTTGATATGCATGATTCCGTCATGACTGGTGTGTTCGATGAACCAATAAACTTCCCCAAATTGCCGATGTGAGATGCATGTAGGATACTTTATAGGAGAGAATGGGCAATTTGCCATTGAAAATGGCACACACACACAAAATACACAAGTAGATTCAATTTTTTTGTTTGTGAAAATTGTATTTACTTCTAAAAATCGTACAAAATATGATAAAATCGTACTGGTTGGCAGCTCTGAAAGAGAAAAAAATTGCCCAAAAGGGCAGATCAGAAGTTTTTTAAATTGACACACTTCTATCATGAACCTGCATGCTGACAACAAATAAGAAAGTTATGGAACTTTAAATTTTCACATAGTTTCATGAAACAGTGATATGTATCACATACCGTAAGATCCTTTCATAAAGAAAGAATGTGAACGTTTTACCAGAACTCAACAATTTTGTCCTTGAAGGGATTGGTTATCTTTGCCTCAGATTCTAAACAAAATCCTGTATTTAGACCATGCTGCACAATCATGATTATAAACCTTTAATAGGTCAGTCAGGAATCCCATTGACTTTTACAATTTTCACCTGTCTGATTGTCAAGATATTTAGGATTGGAATTAGAAATTTCAAGAACAGTTTTTATAACACTACAGTCTGTTGGGGGAAATGAGTATGGAAATGAGTATGGAAAAGACGGTCACTCAAAGAATTTTACTCGTTTGTAGCACTTCAAGATCATTTTGAAGCAGAATTTTTGTAGGGCTACAATATTACACCATATTACAAACACTGATAACACGTAGGGCCATGCATCTCAGATTTATAAACTGGAAACATTGTAAAACAATGCCTTTAAGATGACAAGTGTTATGTTGATCCTACCTGTCTGAGTTTTGTCTGATCAAAAATATCTTCACCAGGATGGACTTTGGGTATCTTCTGCTCTTCAGACACACCATACTGTGAAATCATCATAAAACAACAGAGAAAACGTCATATAAATGTACATCACCAGGGAGGTGTTTCACAACATCATAAGTCAAACTTATCTCTTAAGTTGGACTTAAAAATTATGGAGAGCAATTGGTAGCCTTAAAATAAGATATATTCAAAAGCAAAAATTCAAGTATTCTAGACTTTTCATTAATTCCACATCAAGAACGAGAAATCACCTTGATAATAGAAAATATGAAGGATTTGAATCAACATTTTATGCCATATGAAATAACTTTTACAAAACATTTTCATAGATGCTAACGGCTTTCCATAATTGTTAAAGGTAAAGACCAGTATTGGAAACGCCCCAATTTCAAAAAATGAAATGGAAGCTCTTATTACCAATCATGTGAAAGAATATGTTTTGACTAATACATGATGATAAAAAATTTGCCGAGAAACCGCCTACTAATTCATATATTTGGTAAATTTGTTTCTCTCATGGTCTGTGAGAGATATAGGGTAGTCCCATATACATCTTTCTGTGTATAGTGGTTGTAACTTTACGAAGAATGGGCCAAATTTCTTATCATTTTGATGATTCCAGAACCTTGCAAATGCTAGATGCTAGATGATCAACCTTTTCTGATCGATTCCACAACGTTTCTTTCACAATGCAATTGCATGACCATAACTGGTCTTTACCTTTAAGTCCAATTAAGAGATAAGTTCAACTTAGGATATTTTGTGAAACACCCCCCAGGTAAAACAACAACCCACCAACCAAAAGCAAACTAACAAATAAATAACACAACTGGAATGGGAAACATCCTGAAGAGTCCTGAGAAATATATCACAGTGATTTTCTTTTTTAATTCTTCAGAATCAGCCAAACTAGCTATGAATCTACTAACCAATATCCACAAAGTGAAAGTGAGGATTGGCACCATGGCTGAATTACACAAATGCCATCTTCAAATGCAACAATACATGCATACAATAATAATATGTATAACCTTTATCGCTGTAAGAATTGAATAGAAAGTCAATGAGAGCTCTGAAAGGAAACAAAATATTCAAGTAAAATCATAAGTTCATCTGCAGATTCAAATTTGTGAAGGAGCTCCAATAATTTTTAAAAATCTCTACAGTGATTTAAAGCCCCACTGCACTACTTACTGTATAGCTACTTGCGCCCTCTTTATAGCAAACAATGCCTAATCAGTTCCTGTTGGTCCCCCATGATCCTCTTTTTCTTATGTTAATTGAGAGCTGATTTGATGAGATAACCACATGTCAGTGACCTTGTAGGGAGGTCTAATCCCCCCTGGCCAAACTAGTGCAGACGGGCTTTAAGGTGATTTAAATCAGTAGTCACCCAAAGCAGATCAGGCTCTTACCCTTTCGAGAATGGCTTGGTTTTCCTCTGGTTCATCTGATCCGTTGTCATGGTCACCATCACCGGTCTCCTGTTGTTCCTCCATCTGTCTAGCGAACCCTCCCTGGCTCACATCCTGCTTCAGACGTTCGAATGTCGCTTCAAATTTCTTTTGTTTTGAGGACAAAATGGAAGATAGAAGACTTAGGTTTATTCTTTTTTTCAACTTCTTACCTGATGTAGAGATGTTGCAGTTGAGTGGTTTAAATAATAATAATAATATTTCGCTTTTATATAGCACCCAATACATCGATACAACGATGTGTGTAAGCACTTTACAGATATATTATTACCCTGGTTGGATTCAGGCTTACCCGCACAAAATGTGTGCACATTCTCCACTCCCTGGGGAGCATTCTGGCCACTCGCCATTTTACAAGAGCACACTTGCTCATCCACCCACATAAACTTTCGCATCCTACCGGGTACCCATTTAACACCTGGGTGGAGAGTGGCAAATGTAGATTAACGTCTTGCCAAAGGGGATCAGAGTTGCGGCGGGACTCGAACCCCCTACCTTGTGATCTGCAGTCGGGTGACTTATCCACTTGACCACAACGCCTCTACAAATACTTGACTGGAGATGCAAAGGTCGTGGGTTAGAGCTCGTATGTTGCACTTGTGTCCTTAGGTGAGACATTAATCCACATTTGCCACTCTCTGCCCAGGTGCTACTGGGGATTCCTTGAATGCTTTGAGCACCGAAATCCATACATGTAGCTTAGCTAGAGTCCGGGTAATATTGGAGTGCCTTGAGCACATTACATGGTAGATATGAGCACTATGAAAATATCCAGTTTTATTTTTCAATGTACAATGAATGCTTTAAGTTTGCGCAAAATTAGGAGATAATCATCACAAACTTCAAAACAGCTTGCTACCATCACTGCCAGGCATTTTGAAAGTATGAACCAGATATAATACAAGGACAGATTGTGAAGTAATTAAGTGATTCTAAGACTGCAACCCACACATTGTACATTTCGGATTTAAAAGGTTGCCTAAAGAATTAATAGAGTTGATATTGGATTTAAATGTTTTGCATGAGCTGTAACTTTTTCATCCTACACCTGTACTGTTTTATTTTATTTCATATACCATATAAATATTGCCATGAATATATAGATTATCATGAATTGTACATTTATATGTTATAAACTACAAATATGCAAATGTTGATTATTTTCATTGGAAGAATGCATTTGTCTTCTATACCATGCAATTAACTGTAAATAAAATTGATTGGAATTAAATTGAATAGAACTGAACTGAACTGAAATTAGTTGACCTGAATGGAATGGAATTGAATTGAAATTAAACAAACTAAATTGAATTGAACTGAATTGAGAGGAATGGAATTGAAATTATTGAATTGAATTGAATTGATCGGAATGGAATGGAATTGAATTGAAATTAAACAAACTGAATTGAATTGAACTGAATTGAGAGGAATGGAATTGAAATTATTGAATTGAATTGAATTAATCGGAATGGAATGGAATTGAATTGAAATTAAACAAACTGAATTGAATTGAACTGAATTGAGAGGAATGGAATTGAAATTATTGAATTGAATTGAATGGATTCCGAATCAAAATGGACAGAATGGAATAGAATTGAAATGAATTGAAATAGAATCAAAGTTAACTGAATTGAACTAGAATCAAACTTAACTGAATTGAATTGAACTAAATCAAATTCAATTTAACAACTCACCGTTTTCTTCTTCATATCCACCATCTTGGCCAAACTGAACCTAAGTTTTCTCTTCTTTGTTGTCGTTTCCTCTGTGCTCATTTCCTGGGACAGCCTCCCTGGGCTAAGGGAATCCTATGAAATAAAAAAAAAAGTGCGAGAGAGAGAGAGAGAGAGAGAGAGAGAGAGAGAGAGAGAATAGAAATCATTATAGCTATAAGTTTACAAAATCTTAAATAATAATAATAATATTTTTGCTAATATAGCGCTTAAAACGTTGGGAATGTCCGAGTTTCTAAGCGCTTTACATTATTATCCCGGTCATCGGATTCTGCACACATCGGATTCATCGGATTCCGAACACAATATATGCACTTTCTCCACTACCTGGGGAGCATTCCAACAAAGAGCTACAAGGCTCAAATTGCTACGCATACCACATTGGCTTTCGCATCCTACCGGGTACCCATGTAACACCTGGGTGGAGAGTGGCAAATGTAGATCAATGTCTTGCCAAAGGACATTAGTGCCGCATCGGGACTCGAACCGCGGACATTGTGATTGACAGTCCGGTGACGTATCCACTTGACCACATACGTGGATTTTAAAAAACACACACCAAGAAATGATCAGGTAGCATGGTGGTTCAGTGGGTAGAGCAGTGGTCTTAGAAACATACATTCCACGGTTAAAAACCATGTCTGCAATAGCATATTTGTAAGGCAACAATCCCTGATCACCCAGTCCTTCTGATAGGACTCAAAAACTGAAGGTCTCTGTCTTGTCTGCATATACCGTATACACAAGCATAAGCATATATCCTCTCTGTGTGGTCAGGTTCGACAATGTATCAATGTCATGTATTTGAATTGTCAAACATCATATTTAGGTAATGATCAATAAGGTAGCACAAAACAATTGGATGATAAAAAAAAGAGTATTATGATTACAAACACATGTTCTTCATTCTCAAGGCTACAAGAACCTTTGTTTTCCTGTTTTATTCAGCTATAAACAGACCTGGTCATGTATAGTACTTCTATATACGGATTGTGATACCACCTGTTAACCCTGATGATAATAGATTCATTTCATGATGCACAATGGACCAATCGATTGCCCAGGTTCTTGTCATGAGATATAGTATCTATATTGTATAGTGTGATCAATAGCATTAAAGCGTACCAATCACATGAAAAATTAATTCATGTATAGCTAGAATATTTACCATCAACCTCAAAATAACTTTACCTGGCATTCTATGGATAAACGGTTAAGGATTGTGAAGAAAATAAAGGATAACATTAAACCCCACGCATAGGGCTCACACGGAACCAGAGTCCGACTTTGGTTTCGTACGAGCCTTATTCTACATGATGAGTATGAGTGCGCTAAATAGTCGACTCAACCAGAGGTTTGACTGTTTACAGAGAATGTATTCAAATTATATCTCTGTAGAAATAATATTTGAAGCTCATATTATGAATATGAACACTATAGCCACATGGGATCTTTTTCATCAACAGCAAAAAATGTTTTGGTGATTGGTACACTTTAAGACCACAGTTTAAGACCACAGCTGCCATATTTTTCAAGAACACTATCTGGATACAAGAATTTTTTTAGGAAATTCCCAAATCAATATCATAGAAATTGCCACTTAAATATCAGCATTTTGAATGACAGCTTCTATTATATTCTCAAATCTCAGTATGGAACAGTAACAAAACATTTTGTTGAAATTTTGTTTACCAAGGGAAGCTTCATCAGCTTCAACGCTGTTCTTCCGAGGGCAGGGCTGTAATTATTGTTACCACGGCGATTGCCAGGTACCCATGTACACCTGGATGGAGAGTGGCATATGTGGATCAATGTCTCACCAAGGACGTTAGTGCCCGACCGAGGTTTGAACCCCCAAACCTTGGATTGAGAGTCAAGTGAGTGAACCACTTTACCATAACACCTTCACACGTCCACATACAGAAAAGACAGAGAGGGGCAGATTAAACAGAACAACTACAATGTTACTCAAGCAGCGTAGCAGAAAAAAAAGCAACAGAAGAAAAAATCTTGAACACAGCTTATTTAAAGTAAAATAAGTCTGTGCAATATAATAATAATAATAATAATAATAATAGCTCGTTCTTACATGTATATAGCGCTTTTCAGGACCGGAGGCCCTCTCAAAGCGCTAACTATAGGCTAACTACCATAATAGTGACTGTAATGTCCTTTGGCAAGATATTGATCTACATTTGCCACTCTCCACCCAGGTGTTAAATGGGTACTGGTAGGAAGAAATTCCTTAAAATGCTGTGAGCGTCGAATCGGCAGCCTAGCATAGCCGGGTAATGTTGGAGCGCCTTGAGGACCTTGCAAGGTCGATACGTGCGCTGTATAAGAATCCAATATTATTATTATTATTATTATTATTAATAATTATACAGTAAATCCTTACCAACTGCCCAAAAATCTGTGAAAATGTAATATCCAGATTCAAACAAAAAATGTGACAATTGGCAGATTGTATACTCCAACTTTTTTGTAATGTAAAGTCTGTAAAGAGCACTTACCTCAAAATGACATATTTTGGGATAGACTGACATGATGGCACTGACAATGTTCACTCAGATAATTAGTCAGTTTCATAACGAGAGATTAAAAAACCATTTCAGGCCACAGAGTTGTGACTGATCTGGATTAACCTTTTAAATTATTATTCCACAATTTGTGTTTTGGCTCAGTAAACTTTAGATTAAGATTAAGAGCCCTAAAAAATATGCCAGATAGGTGAGGGAAAAGATCAAAAGTTTCTGCACATACTGCATCCATGATATATTGCATTTGTATTATTATGTATCCTTTGAGGGTAGTCATGCTATCATGCTTTGCTTACTTTGACAACCCTCCTGTTTGATGTTTTTGATTAGTCCCAGCCAGCCTTACTTTATTCTACATACCGGTATATTGTTTTGTCATGTGTAAATTTGCAATCTTTGTTTGTTATGTACAGTGCGTCCCAAAAAAAACTATACACTTTTGAAATGGCTGCCGTATAAAAAATATAATATTCTTTGGGGAAAAGTTGTATATGTATGGAAAGCTCATAAACCCAACTTTCATATGACACCAAAAAGTTCGAAAATAATTCATGCTTGGGTGAGCACTGCTCACTTTTGTAAAGGGTATGAAAATTAGTTTGCGCAGGAATTAGCCTTCCAATTTGTGACAGGTAAATCCTTTGGAGCTTATGAAATTGAGAATAATATGACCAATTTATGATCAATTGTGATGAGTTTGGGTTTGCTACGTGAAATTTGTGGTTCATGGGATTAAAATTGTATGCATGAGTGAACAGGAATTGCATTTGTTATTACCGTATAGCAATGTAACTTTCTATGGTAGACTCAGTGGTGTTTTCATGGGAGTCACGACGGGGTGATGGTACATGGTACAGGGGAGGTGAAATGTAGGGTAGGACTTTGTTGGGTAGATTGGATAAGGGTCAAGAGGACGTGTATGCCCCTCCACCTTCTCTCTTTCTCTCTCTCTCTCTCTCTCTGCCCGGGTATGCTTGTGCACATCTTGACAATTCATTAGACAATCAACATTCAGCTATCAATCACTTAATCAACAATGTATCAGTCAATCGGTCAATCAATTAATCAATCAAGCATTCAATCACCATTCAGTATTTCAATCAATTTAATCATTCAGTCAATCACTCAATCTATCAACCAACCAACCAGTCATTTTAGCACTTGAGTTTCGCACAAGTAATACGGTACAGTTAAACACAAATTCACAAGTTTGTAAAATGAACATGTCAGTTTTCAATTTTACAACTGTTTCGTCCATCTTGTACGAGAAAAAAGGGGAGAAAATATCTGAAAATGGAAACAATGGCCCATATGTCCACCTCCTCTTTCGATGCACAATCTTGGTGAAGGTTTTTATTCACAGTCACAGATGTAAAAAAAGAAATAACAGTTTGTAACATGGAAATTACAACATGTACCATCACTCCATCCTGACTCCCATGAACACACCACTGAGTCTACCAGGGAAATTTACAATGCTACAATAAAAAATGCAATTCCTGTTCACTCATGCAAAAAAGTTTGGTTTAATAGACCATGAAATTCACTCAGCAAATCATGAATGTATCATATCACCCTCAATTTTGTAAGCTCCAAAGGATTTACCTCTCACAAATTGGAAGGCTAATTCCTGCGCAACCTAATTTCCATACCCTGTACAAAAGTGAGCAGTGCTCACCCAAGCATGAATTATTTTCGGACCTTTTGGTGTCATATGAACGTTGGGTTTATGAGCTTTCCATACGTATACAACTTTCCCCCAAGAATCATATATTTTTTTATTTGGCAGCCATTTCAAAAGTGTATAGTTTTTTTTGGGACGCACTGTATTTGTAAAAATGCAAAAGAAAAGAAAATCAAACAGAAATAAATAAATCAAATCAAATCAAATTTGATGCCAGGAAAATAAGCTCTAAATCCTTAAATTTGCAACAAGTGGACAAATTCAAATTTATAGTTTTTTTTTTTCTCAATCAAAATTGGCAATTTTGACTACATTCTTGCCTATGTATATAGTTTCCAGAGACATTAAATTTTATCTTAAAGGTAATACAAAGTTTTGGTATGGGGTCATGAATTTGGTTCAAATTAACATATTGGAAGCATGTGCTATCCTACAACATTCAGTGATCGTTGTCGCCGTTGAAATCGACCGATTAGTTATTCCCATTTGGAAATTATATATTACAACTACATATTCTGAGATTTTCATGTTAGCAGCTACCATTGTATGGCCGTAGGCGCTATTTGAAATTTATCAAAGTTTACTGGGAACACCGGTAAATTTTCATATTCAATTTTTCTCGAAAGCAGAAGTGTTTTAGGGGCTAAATGTTCTCATGCTTATAATACATCCACAGGGGCATCCAAATATATCAAAATTGTAAAGAATCACTATCCACCAAATTTTCAAAATTTCCCAAAACTTTGTATTACCTTTAACTTAACTTAATTATTGCTGTCCTGAAAGGGTTAATCAAAAGTCCTCTATTTCTCTTTCCTCCATCAATTACAATCAATGCAAGCCATTCATTT